CGCGGACGAAGGCGGCCTCTCCAAGGAGACCGCGCACCAGCAGTCTCAGTACCCTCTGGCGCCGCACCCCCAGACTCAGCACCCCCAGGCTCCTCACGCTCAGGCTCAACACCCCCAGACGCAGCACCCCCAGGCGTAGTACCTCCAGTCTCCTCACGCTCAGGCTCAGCACCTCCAGGCTCCTCACGCTCAGGCTCAGCACCCCCAGGCTCCTCACGCTCAAGCTCCGCACCCCCAGGCTCAGCACCCCCAGAGACAGCACCCCGAGCAGGACCACCCCCAGCAGGACCTGAGTCACCAGTGACCTCAACAGGCGTAGGCACGGGAGGGTCTACCTGAGAAACACCTGAAGGAGCAGGACCTGGCGCGGGGAGGGGGTCTACTTGGGGAGGACCTGGAGCGAGAAAGAGTGGCGGGGGGGGGCGAGGGGCAGTGCGGTAGGGAAAGAGACGGTAAAAGGGGACTGACTCGTCAAATTTGACGTCCTGAGATGGAAAGACACGGCGCGAGGCGGGGTCGTAAAACTGTCAGCCAGGCGCGTCAGGGACAAAGCCAAGGAAGACGCAGGGAATGGTGCGAGGGGAGAGCTTGTCCGCAGTGGTATCGCGAACAAAGGCACGGGCACCCCAGACTCGGAAACGCGACGCATCGCCAACCTCCCCCGTCCAGCGCAGTGTGGGCGAAGTCTCCGTCACGGAGACACGGGGCCAGAGGTTGAGCTGATGCACGGCGTACTGGACCGCAAACGGCCACAGAAAATGGGGGGCAGCCGCATGGATCATGGAGGTACGAGCGACCTCCATGACTAAGCTAATGCGGCGCTCAGCAATCCCATTCTGCTTCGGAGAGGCCGGAAGTATGAACGTCTGGCGGATGCCGTGCTCCTCACAGTAGGCTCGCAAGAGGTTGGAGGTAAACTCACCACCTCTGTCGGAGTGCAGACGCAGGACAGGAAAGTCCGAGTGGAACCGCTCGCGGAGCTGGAGACGAGCAGCGCGGATCCAAGGGATCAAAACATCAGGGACCTCCCCCTTGCGCTGCAAGGGGAAGACCGTGGTGTAACGCGTGTAGTCGTCGACTACCAGCATGAAGTACCGCTCGTGTCCCTGTCCACGGACGCGAGCTGGGCCCCACACGTCCAGGTGGAGAGTCTGCAGTGGAGCCTCTGTGGGAGGGAATGAGGAGGAGTGAGGAGCGGCGCGCTGCCGCCCCTCGACGCAAAGGAAAGCAGAGAGGCGCAGGCGAGGGAGGGAGGGAGGGCAGAGACCGAGGAAGACCAGAGACCAGGCGGCGAGAGTGCATGCCACGAAGGCGAGGCAGGGAGGGGTGACCAAGGCGGTGGTGCCACAAGAGAGTCTGGTGCAACAGGCTGCGACACTCACACTGGGTAGCTACCTGAGCGGACGCGTACAGCTGAGGAGACAAAGGGGTGGAGCGCGACGCAGTGGTGAGGGTGTACAGACTGGACCCAGGCGCACGTGTGAACGTGGCCAGGTGGCGGCCGGTCCGGGAGCACGTGCAGATCGCCACACGCTGTCCTCCAGGAGTAAAGGTGTCAACCCAATGATCCTGAAGGATGGCGTTGCTCACCAGGTTCGTAGAGAAAGAGAGGAGGTGGAGACCAGACAACTCACTAGACGGGACCGCCGGACACGGAAGCACAGTGGAAGACCGTGCAAGCACTGGGCCCCCAGAGGGGTCAGCCAGTGAGACAGGAACAAGTGCAGGGAGGGGAGTGAATGTGGTGCTGTCGCGAAAGAAACAGCTGGAAGCACCAGAGTCAATTATAAAGGTGTGCAAGGCCTGTGCGGACGCATTACCAGGGAGAGCAGACTCACGAGCACCTAGAGCTGCAGGCGCTATACCTGGGGCTACACCGGGGTCAGGCGGCACACACAAGTAGCAGTCACCCTCAGCACTAACAGTCAATGCATATATGGCAGCAAGAATAGTATCATAGTCAAGATCAAAGATAGGAACATCACGCCTAAGCAGGTCTGCCCAGTTGGGGAACTCAGTAGCATCAGGAAACTTGACGCGCCAGGCGTCGCTAAGCCGAGCGAAGCAGCGGTACTCAGTGTGAAAGCCGGTGCACTGGCGACCAGCGCGGGGACCTGCGCGAATGATATAGGGGCAGCGACCAGGACCCCCAGACGCCCCACGCCCGGCATACCAGTCAAGAAGCTGCTGTGAAGTGGGGGTCTGGCGCTGACGTTGCTGCGGCTGCTGCTGCTGCTGCTGCTGCTGCTGCTGCTGCCCCTGGCCACCACTGGTCTCACCCAAGCCCCCACCACCGCCGCCACCACCACTCCCCCCTCCGCCACCACCGCCGCCGACACCGCCACTGCTCCCAGCACCACCACCGCCCCCACCACCACCTCCACCCCCACGACCACCCCCACCATCTCCACCTCCCCCGCCGCCTCCACCACCGCCCCCTCCACCGCCATGTCCGCCACCCCTGCCACCCCTGCCTCCCCTGGAGCCGCTGCGCTTCCCACTAGGAGCGGAAGCAGCTACGACCTTCTCAGCACCAAGGAGGTCGACAGCAGCAGCTGCGGAGGCGTAGGAGGGGGTAAGAGGGGAGGGGGAGCACCCCTCAGAGAGGGGAGTGCGAGGAGTACCACGAGCAGCACCTACAGCGAGGATGTTCTTCTCTGCCGCTATGAGGTGCTTCTCGAAGTCGGCGACAGTGAGAGTGGTAGGGTCTAGGGCTAGGAAGTGGTCCCTGGCGGAGCTAAGAGTGTCAGGAAGGCGGGTGACGAGGAAATAGAGAGTGAGGTACATCGGGGGGGGGGGTTCTCGGCGCAGAACTCGGCTGGAAGGGCGGCACGAAAGCGAGTGTCACTAGCGCGAAGGTGAGAAATCAGGTCCTCAGCAGTGGTAAATGAGGACAGGTCTGGGAACAGGTAGGGTAGCATGAGCCGACCTAGGGCTGCAGTGGCCGGGGAGGAGCAGCGCGCAACTACAGCGGCATACAGTGCCTTAGCAGTTTTGTGCTGGCTGAAATGCGTGCGCTCAGTGATCGGCAGATGATTTCGAATAGCTAGGCGTGCAGCAGCATCGCGAGTCTGCCACTGTGAGCGTTCGAGAGCGGTAGCATCGTCAGCAGGAGCAACGGCAGTGCCAGACGCGTAATCGAACAGTGTAACGCCGTCTTTGGCATCAGTCAGAAGAAACAGTTGGAGATCGTCTAGCCACGTGGTAAACTCTATCGGGCGACCGTCGGGCTCAAACGCGAGAACATTAAGTGTCGCCATAATCGCAGTGCAGGCAAAGGCAGTAGGCAAAGGCAGTAGGCAGCAGGCAGCAGGCAGCAGGCAAAGGGCACGAGCAGCAAGGGCGGAGGAATGGCAGTACGAGGGCTGCTCGGGCAGTACGAGGGCTACTAAGGCAGCACGAGGGCTACTAAGGCAGCACGAGGGCTGTTAAGGCAGTGGGAGGGCTGTTAAGGCAGCACGAGGGCTGTTAAGGCAGTGGGAGGGCAGTGCGCGGGGCTGACGAGGCAGCGGGCGGGCTGTGCGGGCGTCGCATGGGGCTGACGAGGCAGCGGGCTGGCTGCGCGCTCGCGGGTCAGTACAAGCAGCGCGAGGGCTGAGAGGCGGCACGCGGGGCAGTAGAAGGCAGCGCGAGGGCTGCGGAGCGGCGCGCGGGGCAGGAGAAGGCAGCGCGAGGGCTGCGGGGCGGCGCGCGGGCCTGACGAGGCAGCTAGCAAGCTACGCGGGGGGCTGACGAGGCAGCAGGCAGGCTGCTAGCAGGCTGTACGAGGGCTAGCAGAGGCGAGCGCGAGGGCTGTGCGACTCAGGGCAGTGTAGGCAAGGGGCGGGGTAACGCGGTAACCGGCGGAAAACGGTTGGTGGGCCCTGAAAAACAGTCCTAAAACGGTCCTAAGGACCTATTTTGCTCTTAATACCATGTCGAGAGTAAGGGAAGGAAAAGGTGGTTGCATTATCGAGGAAGTTGGGTACAAGTAACAAAACCTATACCCTACATTGGCTACCCCGCTAAAGCCTACATTTTATTATGACATAGGCATATAGTTTGACAGGAAAGTAGTTTGTGGGACTAGGAATTGGAAAGCTAGAAGAGTAGAGTGCCACGTAGCACAAGGAAATCTGGGAAATCCCAAAGGGATTGGATGAAGATAAGGTTGGGATGAGGTTGGGGGGCTGTTTAGGGTAAAATACCCTTGATCAGTAAAGTACCCCGTAACAGGTTCAGTCCCAATTGTCTACCGCGGCCTTGTCTGATACCTATACACACAGTTATTAGAAAATACATATCACGTTTACCTTGCCAAGGCAAAACATTTCTATGGTATTTCTCTGCAGAACATTAACCGTTAATGGACACCCAGCAGGTAAAACAATGAAGCACCACTTGTTCAATCCTGGATGCAAATACCTTACATTACATGTTCAACATCAAGGCAACGCAAAAATAAGAACCCAGCAATGTCTGTTGTAAAGCGAATGGATGGCTAGGTTAATTTGCCATCCCCGTGTGCTCAACCACAAGCAGCCAATCGTCAAAGCAAGGCACTCCCTCTTGCAGCAGCAAACAACCCGCTGTCCAAATAAAATGGTGTACAAACAGAGGGCAACTGTGCACTGTAACCCTTTTCATGGGACCACCAGGTGATATGGTGCTGCAGATTCCCACCACCCGTGAGCACGCCTGTACTCCTCGTCATTTATGTGCACCAAGCGACTCTGAAGTGCCTAAAACAAATCCATGGCTGTCGTATTGCATGATCGTCCGATCATCACCTCATCTTCTGACGCGCATGGCAGCCAATCCGTCTGTGGTGCGCGCACCCAGCACTTGCACAGAGTCCCCCACGATCTCCAGAACCTATGGCGGATGGAGGAGGGTGGGAGGAATGGAAGAGGGTGGGAGGAATGAAAGAGGGGGCCCTGAGGTGCCGAGAAAATACCAAGGACGTGCATGTAAAGTCGGACGGCCAGCACTTGCACAGAGTCCCCCACAATCTCCAGAACCTATGGGCGGGTAGAGGTGGCAACAGGAAGGGGAAGGACCTGAATGCTGAGAAAAAAACAGAAGAAAAGCATGCAAGCTGTTAAAAGGAAGGCCATGAGGGATGCCAGGAGATAGGCAATTTAAAGTGGGTGTGGGGTGCAGACGATGATGTGGGATGCAGGCGATGATGTGTAATGCAGATGCATGGAGGAGGGTGCATACCTGGGGTGGGGCGTTGAGCATGCCTGATGACATGCCCACGTCGATGCGCCACACTCTACCCCCGCACTCCCTACACGCACGAGAGGCGGGCGAGAAGACAAGGCAGCAAGAAAGGGATGGATTAGACAGGTTAACATACTGCACTAGTGTCAATCCGCTGGGACTCGCTTCAAAGAAAGCGTACACATGCAGCAGGTGGGTGACCCACCCACTCTTCAGAATAGAGAGTACAGGCGTGTGGAAAAAGACAAGCAACTACTCACCCGTTAGCCCCGCCCACTTGCGGTGTGTGCCCCACAACAAGCCTCTTTGCCCCCACTGCGTCCAGCGAAGCAGCCAGCACAGTGCAGATCTGCGTGGGCACGGGACGAGTGGATGGGGCATACTTGAGGTGACTTTGTGAGTTGACTCAGAAGCTGCCCCACAACGAGCCTCTTTGCCCCCACTGCGTCCAGCGAAGCAGCCAGCACAGTGCAGATCTGCGTGGGCGCGGGAATGGGGCACGGTTGAGGCGGTAAGAAATAGACAGAATGGTGCACTGCACTTGTGCATGTGAGGACAGGATCTATGCCATGTTGTGCTCGTCCTCACTTTGCTTCTACATGTCTGCACTGCACCTCACTTGGTACCAGTTTTCACATCGCTTTAAACCCATCCTCACCTTGTATTTGTCCTCTCCAGACCCCAGGTATTCCTGTGAGTACAATCGAGTCCACACCACACTGTTGAAGCCTCTTGCCACTCTTGCACTTTGCTCTCACCTGCTTCTCCCTGCCTCAAATCACCCTGCACTCACTCACCGTTCACCCATCCTCACCTTGTACTTATCCTCGAGTATTCCTGCGAGTACAGCCAAGCCCACAAGTGACTTTTGAGTCGACTCAAAAGTCACCTTATTCCTGCGAGTACAGCCAAGCCCACAAGTGACTTTTGAGTCGACTCAAAAGTCACCTTATTCCTGCGAGTACAGCCAAGCCCACACCTCACTGTTGAAGCCCCGCGTCACAACACAATGAAGCATCGGGCTGCACCCATTCCGAGCGCTTCAACACCATGCACCCATCCTCACCTTGTACTTGCCCTCACATCGCTTTGCACCCATCCTCACCTTGTACTTGCCCTCACATCACTTTGCACCCATCCTCACCTTGTACTTGTCCTCGCCAGACCCCAGGTATTCCTGAGAATACAGCCGAGTCCACACGACGCTGTTATAGCCCCTCGTCACGATGAACGGCATCGGGGTGCGCCCCCCCTCGCCCCACACCTCCTCGCCCCGCATCCACTGCGACAGCTCCCGGTTCATGCGAGGCAGGCCGTATTCCACTGGAAGGCAGAGAGGCAGAAATGAACGGAGTGGGTGGGGAGCCAGAGGAGAATGAAGGGAAAGGTAAGCTTGCTACTCTGTACCCCTCGCCCCGCCCCACACCTCCTCGCCGCGCATCCACTGCGACAGCTCCCGGTTCATGCACGGTAAACCATACTCCACTGGAGGGGGGGTTGGTGGGAAGTAGGAGAAAGAGAAACAAGCATGTGACTCTCCCGCCCTCGCCTCACACCCCTCGCTCCACACGTCCTCCCCTTCCCCCCGCATCCACTGCGACAGCTCCCGGTTCATGCGCCGTGCGGCAGCCCATACACCACTGGAGGGGGCCGGGGGGTGGGGAGGAGAAGGGGGGTCAGAAGGAGGAGAGAGCGAGGTAGAGGGAAGTCTATACCCGTAACCCATCCATACAGTACGGATGGGTGCTGTGCGGTGGTTGAGTCTAGAAGGGGGGTTAGAAGAGGTACCGGCAACGTTAAATTACTAACTTGCCTTGGTGTGAAGATGTGGGCTTAAAATTGCTAATCGGATAGAACGGCGTGCTTCCTCTGTAGCCCCTCCCCGTACAAGTGCTGCAGCCCCATCCCATCCCTTGCCAGTTGAGAGGTGACTTATAAGTCGACTCAAAACTCAACTCGGACAAAACGGGCGTGTTCCTCTGTAGCCCCTCCCCGTACAAGTGCTGCAGCCCCATACCATCCCTTGCCAGTTTAGCTCAGCGCCGTTAATCGGCTTCTCATGCTGCTAACTCGCCGCACATTGAACCCAAATTCAACTCACCATGGTGAGGCAGGATGCCCCCGTGTGCAAACAGGGTATCGTTGACCATCAGAGCAGCATTGTTCCTCACCAGCTCTGCTGCCACAATAACGACCATCCACATCCACATGCACATCACCACACCGCACCGCACCGCACTCCACTCACCATGGTGAGGCAGGATGCCCCCGTGTGCAAACAGGGTGTCGTTGACCATGAGAGCAGCATTGTTCCGCGCCAGCTCAGCTGCCATCGGCCCGCCCACCTCAAACAGCTCGTGCCGCTCCCGCACCTGCCGCTGGCCCTGCAAGAAGGTCAAGGGGGAGTGGAGGGAGTGGGGTGGGTGGAATGTTAGGGCAGGCAAGGATCAAGCTGCATATAGCCCACCCTCACACAGCTCGTGCCGCTCCCGCACCTGCCGCTGACCCTGCAAGAAAAGCAGGAGCATGAGTGGGAAGAGGGGGGCGGGAGGGGGGTAGAGCAAGGGTTAAGCAGCATATCAAACACCTCTGCTGCCATCGGCCCGCCCACCTCAAACAGCTCATGCCGCTCCCGCACCTGCCGCTGACCCTGCAGGGCAACGAAAGGGGGTGGAGGAGGAAAGGCAGGGTTAGGTCTCACATAGCCCACCTCAAACAGCTCATGCCGCTCCCGCACCTGCCGCTGGCCCTGTAGGTAATGAAAGGCATGAGAGGAGCAAAGGGGGTGGGTGGAGGAGGAAAGGCAGGGTTAGGTCTCACATAGCCCACCTTAAACAGCTCATGCTGCTCCCGCAGCTGCCACCTTCCTTGCGACGATAAGGGGGAGGGAGGAGAATGGGGGGAGAGGGTGGTGGGAGTGGGGGAGGAGGGGTGAGAAGGCAGTGGGTAAGTGTCAGTGCCATGTGCGATTTGAAGGCGGGGAGGGAGAGAATGGCGGTCCTGAGACGGCCCACGTTTTTCCACAAGTCTTCCCACCTGACTGGGGTTTCATTTCATCCATTCCATGGGCTGGGCCCCGCCCTGCCGCCTCCTCTTAGACGCCTTGAGCTCCTGAGACGCCTGCCTGCCACCACACGCAGAACGCACAGTCCCAGTCGCCACCACACCCCTCCCTTGCACAACACACCTCTCTACCTCAGTCCGCCTTGATCCCACATCCTCACACACCCTCATTCCCACCTGAATGGGGTTCCATCCGTTCCACAGCCCTCTCCGCCTCCTCTTAGACGCCTTGAGCTCCTGAGACGCCTGCCAGTCGGGTACATGTTCCACCCCACCCTAAACGGACTCTCCCAATCGCCCCCACCACACCCCCAGTCTACTAAACACCCCGCACGCCCTCCCTCGTACCTGAATGGGGTTCCATCCGTTCCACGGCCCTCTCCGTCGCCTCTTGGACGCCTTCAGCTGCTGAGACGCCTGCCACCACACGCGGAACGCGCTGTCCCAGTCGCCGCCGCACTCGGAGAGGCAGAAGGAGTAGAAGTCCTCACTCTCCTCGAAGCCCCCGTCCGACACGTACCGAAACTCCTCCGCTACATTCATTGTTTCATGGTTGCCGTTCAGCTAAGAGGCGGGAGAGGGGGGAGGGAACAGGGAGGGAGGGAGGGAGGCAAGGCAGGCAGGGAGAAGGGGAGGTAGGGAGAGATGGAGGGATTGAGGCAGGGAAGGCCTTGGGAAAAGAGTGCGCTGTCCCAGTCGCCGCGGCAGTTGGAGAGGCAGAAGGAGTGGAAGTCTTTGCTCTCCTCGAAGCCCCCGTCCAACACGTACCGAAACTCCTCTGCGACGTTCATCGTTTCATGGTTACCGTTCAACTGGTGTGGGGGGGAGGGAGGAGGGTGGAAGGAGGGGTGAGGGGAGAGCAGGGAGGGAGGGAGGTGAGTAGAAGTCCTCGCTCTCCTCGAAGCCCCTGTCCGACACGTACCGAAACTCCTCTGCGACGTTCATCGTCTCGTGATTGCCGTTCAGCTGGTGGGAAGTGGGAGAGGGGGGGGGGAGAGGGGGGAGGGGGGGAGGAGTGAGTGGATGGGAAGGGAGGGGAAGCGGTGAGAGTGTTAAAGTAACTTGCAGTCATCGGTGCGTTTTCTAAAGGATGTGGTGCTGATAAGATATTGTTCCACTTCATCACACTCATTCGCGCACACCACACCACCACACATGGTATTTTTTCCCTCGCGTATCAATCTGGCGGCTTCTTCTCCCACGCCATGTTCTTGTTTGTCTTGCACTCACTATTTTTTGTTTCAGCCGCCACAGTGACGCCCACCCCCTTCACACGACCCCTCTAACTATGAGCATCTTCCCCCTAGCACACACCCGACTTCTCTATATATCACCACCCTCCACTGTTTTTCACCACGAGCACGCCTCCCCATTCCCGCTGCGCCAGTCGGTCCACGTATCTGAGCAATGAGAGAATGGAAATCTCATCATCATCACAACAGTCACGATTTGTCCAACCAACCAACCCTAAACCCACACACCCTGCTCCTCGACTCACCATGAGTACGCCTCCCCCTTCCCGCTGTGCCAGCCGGTCCAGGTGTCTGAGCAATGAGAGAATGGCAATCTCATCGTCACCACGGTCCAGCACGTCTCCCACCTGGACCAGCACCTGGAGGGGAGCAAGAGGAGCAACAGAAGCAAAGAGAGGCAAGCGGGGCAAGGGACGAAAGGGTCAAGATGGATGGCCTGAGCCTGAGCAGCAGGAGAAAAGCAATCTCGTCATCGCCACGGTTCAACACGTCTCCCACGTGAACCAGCACCTGTTGGCTGGCAGCAAGGGGAGCGAAGGGAAGGCGAGGGGATTAAGGGGCACAAAGAGGGGACGAGTCGCACGGATCCAGGTGTCTGAGCCGCGAGAGAATCCGGCGAAGAAGGATGCTCAGGTGGAGCAGATGAGCGCTCAGCTGGAGCAGTTGAGCGCTTAGCTGGAACAGATGAGCGCTGCGTTGGTGGAGATGAGCGCTCAACTGGCGGAGAAGGATGCGCTCCCTCTCCGCCAACTGCGCGTCCCTCTTCGCCAGGTATTCTTCCTCTCCGCCAGCTCAGCACTCATCTTCTCCACCTGAGCGCTCATCTGCTCCAGCTGAGCGCTCATCTGCTCCAGCTGAGCGCTCATCTGCGCCATCTGAGCATCCTTCTCCGCCAACTGCGCATCTTTCTCCGCCGGCGAATACGATCTCATCATCGCCAAGGTCCAACACGTCTCCCGCCTTAACCAGCATATGAGGGCACAATGCACGCTAAGGGTGCAAGGGGACAAGGGGTGACAGCGGGACAAGGCGCACAAGGGCGCAAGGCGCCCCAAGGGGCGCAAGGCGCGCAAGGGGCGCAAGGCGCGCAAGGGGCGCAAGGCGCGCAAGGGCGCAAGGCGCGCAAGGGGCGCAAGGCGCGCAAGGGGCGCAAGGCACGCAAGGGGAGAAAGGGAAGCAAAGGGCGCAAGGGTCAACATAGCAGCGGGTTTGTGAGGCAAACGAATAGGAAGAGGCTAATCAGGATTTTTATTGGTAGAGAGGCGGGCCTGGGAGTGGAGTGGACGATCGACGAGGTCGAGATGAAAGAGCCAACGGGGAGATTAGAGTGAGGCTTTGATCCAAGATAATCCCAACAGTATTAGCAACCGTGGGCATGTTTGAAACGCCTCCGAACTCGACCCCTTTTCCTTCGGTTGTAATCTAGTCTTGCAACGTCTCAATTCATGAAGTCAAACCCATGCAATTGCTGTGACATCAGGTCCAATCCTCAAAAGTCATCCTTGTGTGGTAGAGATCGTTTCACAACTTACCTCCAATCTTGTGTCACTATAATTCCTTCACACACTCAAACCCGTTCCATTCTCAACCCACATCTCAGACCCCTCCCTCCGCCTCACTAATTACACACGGACAACCCAGCAACAGCCCATCCCTCAACTCATCGACTTACCGTGGGCCCGCCCATCCACATCTCGTAATAGCTCACGCTGTTTTTCTCGTTCAGCACGCTCACTAACCAACCAAGCGGTCCATACCCCACCTCCCTCACTTATCCCTCTTTCCCCATCTCCCCTTCGCCCCCCATCGCCTCACCGTGGATCCGCCCGTCCACATCTCGTCGTCGCTCACGCCGTCCTTCTCGTTCAGCACGCCCGCCACGCGCAGGGCCGCCAGGGTCTGATCCCAGTCGCCGTGCACGTCGCCGACTGGAACGGTGGGAAGAGAGGGGAGAGGGAAGGAGGGGGGAGGGGAAACAGAGCGGGTTGGATTGGGGGGTGGATCAGGGGGTGGACTGGAAGATGGCGTTCAGCACGCCCGCCACGCGCAGCGCCGCCAGGGTCTGATCCCAGTCGCCGTGCACGTCGCCGACTGGGAGAGGGGAGTGGGGGAGGGGGGGGGGGGGGGGTTGGGAGGAAAAGGAGAGTGGGGGAGGAGCGAAAACTTCTCAATCAAAGTGGCCGTTACGGTCTGATTGCGATCGCCGTGCACGTTCTCGGATAAAGGTGGGATGGAAGGGAGACCATGAGGACACGTGAAAAGGAATACTCACTCGCTACAATCCGCTGTCCCGGTGCCGCCACCTTGAACGGCGGCTCCGCCATCTCCCGCGCTTCCGCCAGGCTCACCGCCTGCCACTCCCCCCTCCCCGCCGCAGCATCCCCCCCGCGCACCCCTCCCCACAGCCCCCGCCCGTTCCCGTTGCTGCTTCCGCCCCGTTACCGTTCTGCGGAACCCAATCGTCCCCAGCCAATGCCGCGAACGTGTCGGCAAAAGCCCCGTCCGCAAGCGCCTCCCCCGCAACCGCCGCTCCCGCTGCTTTTGCCGTTTTGATTAGGCGGCGGGAATCCCGCCGCTTCTCAAGGCCCTTAGTCGTCGAACTCTTGCTCAGCCTTCTTGCCGGCTTAAATTTGTCCAAATCGCTTACTGCAGCAGCAGCTCCGTCCGTTTCGTGCCACGTGGCGGGGCACGTGGGCAAGAGCGCGAGCGTGGAATTGGCGGAGGCGGAAGAACGACGGGAGGATGTCTGCGCGGATTGCGCAAGGGCGAGCGCGGAGACGGGTTGCAGCAGCGCGAGCACGGAGAAGAGCGACAGTTGCGCCGCCAGAGCCACCGCGAACCGCGTCTGGCGGTGCGCGTGCGGGCTTAGGTCGAGAGGTGCCGCGAGATGCGGCACGGTAAGCGGAAGGGACGCCGAATAGGACGCTTCAAGGGAAGCTTGAAACGAGCCGGGAAAAGGGGAAGGCATCTGTGAGGTGGTAGTGGTGGCGATTGCGGTGGTTGCGGTGGAGGTAGACAGATACGCAGAGGCCACTCCAGCGGCGGCGCCGGTGGCGACAGAAGGGGATGGGGCTACTTCGACTGTGGATGGTGCTTTCTTTGACGGGGAGCGGTGAAGTGGTGACTGCGGAGGTGTGATTGGGTGGGCTCCGGATGGAGAGGAAAGAGCGGAAGTCGTTACTCGACTCGCAGGATCCTCCCCGCTCCGCCTCCCGTGGCTCAGCGACTGACTGTTTCTGTCAACCCTAAACGCTGGCAGTTTTCCTTGAGAAGAAACGGGTGTTCTTTTGATGCTGTCACACTTCATACTGTCTCCGCCGTGTCTGCCCGACGAACTTGGACCTCCCGTTACTGTCACCCGAGTACGGCGATGTCCCGCACCGCCCGCCGCGATGCTTCCAGCCCATCGCGACGTTGCACCCGTTCGCCACGAGTGCCACGTGGCAGCATGTGACACGTCAGCTTCCGACGAATTTGGGATCAACGAGCAGCAAGAGCTCAATTGGCGGTGGCTGGAGTACCTCCGGCTGGCAAGCTGCTGACGCGAAGGTTCCGCGAACGCTCCGCAGAAGCTGCTCGGCTCGGCGCGCAGCGAGGGAGTAGCAGGCGAGACTGCGGATGAGAGGATGGTGTGAGATGAGAGGGTGGTGGCAGTGGTAACTCCGTTGCTGGTTGCTGTGTCTAAACGTAACGCAGGGAGGCCGCGCATCGGACAAGCCAGGGCTGCTGCTGCTGCTGCAGTCGCCATCACGAGTGAACAGGATTCGACGAGGGAGGAATAGAGTCGAATAAAAATAGGACAAGATTGAAGGATACGGAGAGCGGGAGAGCGGATTAACGGACACGAGCCTATGCTCCTGCCCTTGGTGTGGCGAGCTTGCCTCGTGAATTGAGAACGAAGCTCGACACTACCAGAAAGATGCCTGAAGCTAAAGAACGAATGGCGCAAATCTTGCAAGAGGCAGACGGATATGGTTGAATTGGGTGTGATGTGAACAAGGCTGGGGTGGGGGGGTTCTATGGTGGATATGAACTCATTGGAAACACCGCTGGCGTTGCCAAGAATTCACGATAAGAACGAAGACAGCCGTCAAATGTCGCTAGACCCCGTTACCGCGTCGCACAATTCGTCAGCCGTCGACATGCGCAGTGTTTCGCAGGGGCAAGTGCGTGAACTTCTAACCCCAAGCCGCAACGCCCAAGGGTGGCTTTTCACTGACGAGATTGCCACGTCCCCCTGGGACGCCGACGCCCCACCACATCTTCGCAGCCAAGCTGTGTCTACCACGTGTATTCCTGCAGATGAGCGTAATCTTCCGCGGCCTCTGGCAAAAAGGCACTGATTTACTGATCCGCCGCAAGATGAAATCCCAGAGGTCAGTCTGCCCGTTCGCCACGACGTTTGGTCGGCTGGAATCACTTCTCTCTCCCTCGGGGCCACTCAAATCATCAAGTTGGAAAGGGCAGGGTACAGTTCAGCAGCCCCAACCCTGATAAACACGTGGGGTATGTGGTGTGGAGGCGAGTCCGAACGTGACTCTGGTTACATATATGTTGAACAGTGAAAGGATTTACAAATCCTTACTGAGGCACTCGTTAGCGAGGCCATCCCAAGGGCCACGCGACGAACCTGTTCGGCCTATTTTGTCGGCCGAACCACTCCCGAGTCGGCCTCCGCTCCAATCGCAACCATCACCGAGCCATCTTCGCCCTACCTCTTCGCCTAGCTAGGACTTCCCCTATTTAGGCCTCGTCACTTTGTGTGTTTATTCAGTAATTCAGTATTCGACATTCTCGTTATTCGTTTTACTGCGCACTCTGCAAGTTCATTCATAACAAACAGAACCTCTATAATTTGATTTTCCTCAACCACATCATTACAATAATCACAATATTTGAAAGCGATTTTTTTGTACAAGGGAAAGAGAGACATAGATGAAGGAGAAAAGAAATAGAGAAGGAAAAGGGAGAAGGAAAGTAAAGCTTATCAAGCTTATATGCTGCTTATTATGTAGGCTGTAGTGGGGTAGCCCATATGGGGTACAACCCAATTATGGTTTACTACTTGTACCCATCTTGCTGATAGTTCATTCATTCTCGTTTGTATTTCTGACATGGTTTCAGAGCAGGTCCTAGCCTATGACCGTTTCTGTAGGGCCCACCGAGTAGCTCCACCCCACCCGTCGCGCCGCCGTGTTAGCGCCGCACTGTCTTGCCTTGCCCTGCGTCGCGCTGCCTGCGCACGCCCTGCCCTGCCCTGCCCGCGCGCCGCGCCGTGCCGCTTTGCCCGCGCGCCGCCCGTCGCTGCGCGCCCTGCTTTGCCCGCGCGCCGCCTGCTGCTACGCGCCCTGCCCTGCCCGCGCGCCGCCCGCCGCAGCGCGCCCTGCCCTGCCCGCGCGTTGCCCACCGCCGCGCGCTCTACCCTACCGCGCGTCGCCCACCGCAGCGCGCCCTACCCTGCCCGCGCGCCGCCCGCCGTCGCGCGCTCTGCCCTGCCCGCCGCTGCACGCCCTGCCCTGCCCGCGCGCCGCCCGCCGCAGTGCGCCCTGCCCTGTCTGCGCGCCGCCCGCCTCCGAGCGCCCTGCCCTGCCCGCGCGCCGCGCCGCCGAGCGCCCTGCCCTGCCCGTGCGCCACGCCACCGCGCGCCCTGCCCTGCCCGCGTGCCGCGCCGCCGCGCGCCCTGCCCTGCCCGCACGCCGCGCCGCCGCGCGCCCTGCCCTGCCCGCGCGCCGTGCCGCTGCGCCATCCTGCCCTGCCCGCACGCCGCGCCGCCACGCACCCTGCCCTGCCACGCACCCTACCGTGCCGCGCGCCGCTCGCTCCTGCGTCGCCCTGCGCCGCCCTGCCTTCCCTTGCCTGCGCGCTGCCCTGCTGCTAGCGCGCTCACCTGCCTAGCCCTGCCTGCGTGCTGCTCTCCTGCTAGCGCGCCCGACCGCTCTGCACGCTATGGCCACGCTCAGTGTCCTCACGTTCGATCCGGAGGGCCGCCCGATAGAGTTCGATGCGTGGCTCGACGACCTACAGCTGTTCTTACTGAGCGATTCCAAGGACGGAGTCTCACTGTTTGACCTCACGTCTGGCGCCTCTCTCGCCCCTGCCGCCACAGCTGACAGTATGACTCGCTAACAGTGGCTTACTCGTGACATTGCTGCTCGCCTAGCCGTTCGCAACCACCTGCCGTTAGCCGAACGCGCTCACTTCGGACAGCATAAGACTGCGAAAGCACTGTACGACGCTATAGTCGCTCGTTACTCCTCCTCGGCCACTGCTGCTCCAGGCCGCCTTCTCCTGCCCTACCTGTTCCCAGAGATGTCCGCCTTTGCCACAGTAGCAGACCTCGTCACTCGCCTTCGTACTAGTGATACTCGCTACCGCGCTGCGCTTCCCGCCGAGTTTCTCACCAAGAACCCTCCTCCCATATGCATCCCTCTCTACTTCATAGTCACCCGCCTCCCTGACTCTCTTAGCGCTGTCAGGGACCTCCTTCTAGCCTTTGACCCTACCACCCTCACTGTCGACCTGCTCGAGAAGCACCTCCTTGCAACTGAGACTAGCATAGTCGCTGTAGGCGCCTCTCATGGCACTCCTCGCACTCCCTTCTTTGAGGGGTGTTCGCCCTCCCCCCTTCTCCCCTCAGTCGCCTCTGCTGCAGCTGTTGACTACCTTCGTGCTGAGGAGGTAGGAGCTGTGTCTGCCCCTAGTGGGAGGCGCCGCAGCGGCAGGGGCAGGGGAGGCAGGGGCGGTGGGGGCGGCAGAGGTGGAGGCGGTGGTGGGGGCGGTAGAGGCGGTGGAGGGGGCGGCGGTGGCGGAGGGAGTGGTGGTGGGAGTGGAGGTGTAGGTGGCGGCAGTGGTGGCGGCAGTGGAGGTAGTGGCGGCGGCAGTGGTGGCGGCAGTGGGAGTGGAGGCGGTGGCAGTGGTGGCGGCCGGGGTGGTACGAGTCAGAGGGGAGGCCTGGGCGGTGGTCAGAGGCAGCAGCAGCGTCAGCTTTTGCCCCAGGAGCTACGTGACTGGTTTGCTCAGCGTGGGGCGGCTGGGGGTAGTGGTCCATGCCCGTATGTCATTCGCACAGGTGACCGCACAAGTCAGACATACAGGAAGCTCCACACCCAGTACCGCTGCTTCTCTCGTCGTACCGATGCCTTCCGCACAGAGTTTCCAGACGCGGCTGAGCTCCCCCGCTGGGCAGAGCTGCTTAAGCAGGGTGTAGAAATCTTTGCTCTTGATTTTGATGCTATCCTTTCTGCCATGTATGCATTGACTGTTAGTGCTGAGGGTGACTGTTACCTGTGTATGCCGCCAGACCCAGGTATAGAGGCTGCTGCTCTAGGTGCTAGTGAGTCTGCTGCTCTAGGTGCTGGTGAGTCTGCTCTCTTTGGTACTGCGTCTGCTGCGGCCTTGCACACCTTCACGCTTGACTCAGGTGCTTCTCGCTGTTTCTTTCGCGACAGTACCATAGTCACGCCACTCTCTACATCTGTTGCTGTCTATCTGGCTGACCCCTCTGGGGGCCCAGTCCTTGCACGTTCCTCCACTATTCTGCCTTGTCCGGCGGTTCCGTCTGGCTCACTGTCAGGTCTCCACCTCCCCTTGTTCTCTACGAACTTGGTGAGCAACGCAGTCTTTCAGGATTAGTGGGTTGATACCTTCACCCCTGGAGGACAACGTGTGGCGATCTGTACGTGCTCCCGGACTGGCAGGCACCTGACCACGTTCACCCGTCGGCCTGGGTCGAGTATGTACACACTGACTACTGCGCCTCCTCGGGTAGCTGCGTCTGCGTCCGCGTCAGGTCAGCTAGCGGCCCCCTGCTCGTGTCGCGCCCCGTCGCACCGGACGCTCCTTTGGCATCACCGCCTTGGTCACCCCTCTGTGGCACGCCTCCGTGGCATGAACTCTCGTCTCCTTGTCTCTGGTCTTCCCAGGTCTCTGCCTCCCCTCCCACCCTCGCCTGCCCCTCCCTGCCTTCCATGTGTCGAGGGGCGGCAGCGCGCCGCTCCTCACTCCTCCTCGTTCCCCCCGACAGAGGCTCCCCTCTGACAGAGGTGGTGAGTTTTCCTCCGACCTCTTGCGGGACTTTTGTCGTGGGGAGGGCATTCGCCAGACGTTCACGCTTCCGGCCTCTCCGCAGCAAAATGGGGTTGCTGAGCGCCGCATTGGCTAAGTCATGGAGGTCGCTCGTACCTCCGTGATCCATGCGGCTGCCCCCCATTTTCTATGGCCGTTTGCAGTCCAGTACGCTGCGCATCAACTCAACCTCTGGCCCCGTGTCTCCTTGCCAGAGACCTCGCCAACACTGCGTTGGACGTGAGAGGTTGGTGATGCGTCGGTGTTCTGGGTCTGGAGATGTCGTGCTTCTGTCCGCGATACCTCCGCGGACAAGCTCTCATCCCGCGCCATTCCCTGCGTCTTCCTTGGCTTTCCCCCTGACGCGCCTGGCTGGCAGTTTTACCACCCCACCTCGCGCCGTGTCATGTCCTCTCAGGACGTCACGTTTGACGAGTCAGTTCCCTTTTACCGTCTCTTACCCTTCCGCGCTGCCCCTCTCCCTCCCCCGCCGCTCTTCCTCGCACCAGGTCCTCCTTCGATAGACCCCCTCCCCCCTCAGGGTCCTGCTCCCTCAGGTGTGTCCCAGGTAGACCCCGTCGAGCCTGTCGAGGTAGCTGTCGACTCTGGTGCTGCCAGGGGTCCTGCGTCTGGGGGTGCTGAGCCTGCGGGTGCGGGGCCTAGGGGTGCTCAGCTGGAGCGTGCGGAGCCTGGGGGTGCTGAGCCTGGGGTTGCTGAGTCTGGGGGTGCTGAGCCTGAGGGTGCGGAGCCTGAGAGTGCTGAGCCTGAGCGTGCGGAGCCTGGAGGTGCTGAGCCTGGGGGTGCTGAGCCCGAGTGTGCTGAGGCTGGAGGTCCGTTGGGTGTCGTGTCACGGCGGGAGTCTCTCTTTCCACTGCAGCTGCGCGAGTGGTTTGCTCGGCGCTGGAGCCTCCAGAGTGGTGCTGCTGGAGCTGAGGGGCCTACCACTGGAGACCCTGGAGCTGGAGGTGCTACTGGAGCTGGAGCTGCTGGAGGTGCTGGAGCCGCTGGTTCCGGAGGTACTCGTACTGGAGGTAATGGAGCTGCTGGAGCTGGAGGTGCTGCTGGAGGTGCTGGAGCCGCTGGTTCCGGAGGTGTTCGTACTGGAGGTACTTGAGCTGCTGGAGCTGGAGGTGCTGCTGGTGCTGGAGCCGCTGGTCCCAGAGGTGCTCGTACTGGAGGTACTGGAGCTGCCGGAGCTTGGGGTGCTGCTGGAGCTGGAGCTGCTAGAGGTACTGGAGCTGCTGGAGCTGGGGGTGCTACTGGAGCTGGAGTTGCTGGAGGTACTGGAGCTGCTGGAGCTGGTGGTCCTGCAGGCGTTGGAGCTGCTGGAGGCTCTGGAGCTGGAGGCGCTGGCCCTTGGGGTGCTGGTGCTGTCGGAGCTGGTTCTGGAGGCGTTGTGCGGCCGCGACCGTACTTCGTTCCACTGCTTCAGCAGGTTCTTGGTCTCCCGCCTTCTACTGACCTTACTCCTCCCTTACTGTGTCCACCGCCTAACCAGTTACAGCCACAGCTACTGCTAGCATCCCCACTGCCGGCTCCTTCTCCTTACACTGAGCAGCCCGGCGGTCATACAGAGCGTCGTGAGCCTGCGTCTCGTCCTGCGTCGCCTGTTCGCGCTGTTCGCACTGGTCGTCGTGTTCCGCGTTAGCGTCCACCTCCTGTCCCCGGCACGCACTAGATGGCACTTTGTCATTCCTCTGTTCCACTGCGTGTCCCTCTACCGTCTCCTCCTGCGTCCTCTCGTGCTGACGGACCGGACCCTGAGTCTGACTCACTTCGTGCTGCTAATCCTACTGTCACACTTCTTCTGGCCACTGTTGTCACTGACCCTTCCATTGAGTCCACTCCTGCGTCTGCCCTAGTTGCTGAGCTTGTTGACTTTGCTGCCGCCTGTCGCCTAGACTATGCCGCTAGTCTTGTTGCTGAGTCTGAGTCTGTCTGTCCTCCGTTCGTCGGGGGTGAGTGTGCTCTTGGCACGGACGTCCTTGAGGACAGGCACGAGGACTTTGACTGCTTTGCAGCTGCTGTACCTCATCTCGTGTCCATGCTGATTGCACCTGAGGGAGACCCGGATGCACTCGACATCCCGGCCCCGCGCTCTTACGTAGAGGTGATTGAGGGTCCCTACTCCTCTCAGTGGCAGACAGCCATGGACGCAGAGATGGCTTCCTTGAATTCCACAGGCACCTACGTCAACGAGGTTGCCTTAGAGCACTGGAAGGCCACTAAGAGGGTGATGCGCTACTTGTGCAGTACGTCGGGCATGGGGCTCGTGCTTGGAGGACGGGCTCGAGTTGTCCTCACTGGTCACGCAGACGCTTCTTGGGTTGACGACTTGGCTACGCAGCGGTCGTCATAGGGTTTGTTGCCTCCGGCTCTGTTTCGTGGCGGTCTACCAACTCGTCTTCTGTTCTCAGCTCCAGTTGTGAGGCTGATATCTACGCAGGGGCCATGGCTGCACAGGAGTTACGCTGGCTCACCTACCTGCTGACCGACTTGGGAGAGCCGCCTCATTCTCCTCCAGTTCTGTACGTCGACATCAAGGCCATGATTGCCTTGTATCAGGAGCACAGACTGGAGCACAGAACGAAGCACATTGCTCTGCGCTACTTCCTTGCTCGAGAGTTGCAGCAGCGTGGTCAGCTTCGTCTTGTTTACGTGGCCTCTCAGGCCAACACTGCTGATATCTTCACCAAGGCACTTCAACCTTGTGATCGCCAGCGTTTCTGTACTGTTCTAGGCCTTGTGCCTACTTTGTCTCACTTGCTCACTTCTTGACTCTGCCTGTACTGTGATCTATATACTTATGTCTGCATGCTTGCACTTGCTATGTTGTGATCACTGTACTGCTTGTTCTCCCTCATATATATAACTCCACATGTGAACTGGCCTTGTGGCCACTTGCTTGTGCTTAGATTGCGTGGTGACTTCGTGATCCATCCTGAGCTTGCTTTGCTTTTCTTGACTGGTCTTGTGACCTTTTATTCTCCCCCACTTTGCCTATGGGGGTGTGTCAAACTTATATGCTGCTTATTATGTAGGCTGTAGTGGGGTAGCCCATATGGGGTACAACCCGATTAGGGTTTACTACTTGTGCCCATCTTGCTGACAGTTCATTCATTCTCGTTCGTATTTCTGACAAAGCTGCCAAAAAATCCTTGATGCAACACACATAAAAAGCCCCATCAATACACCCAATCAAAACACACAGTCAAGACACCCCGTCAAGACACTCCATTCCGCACCCCATTTCACCTCCCCTCTTTCACAATTGTGCATCCACCATGTACGGGGCCTCCACCCAGAGAGCCCCGCTCTCCACCTCAACGTCGTCCCTCTCCCTGTCCACTAAATCCACGTTCATCCCCCCTCATGGAAGACGCCGCACGAAACACGATGACACGGGCTTGTGCCCGCTGTAATGCCACCCCGATGAGTGCCTTCAGAGACCCCAAAAGATAACCCTAAAACGAAGTGTCATCCTCTCGACAAGCCCTCCGTGATACAACTAGTTCCACATGCGCATCCCCCTACTGTCGAAGCCACCGCCGGAAACGACCGCCGAGACACCCCAACGTCTCTACTATCAGGGGGGTGAACTGCACGCCTCGGTTGCGTGCAAGCAGAGGCGCGCAAACACTCGTTTTGCGACACTCCCACTCCCTTGCCGCCACACCTATGAAACGCACGCACTGCCTAGCAGAGATGGAGACAGCGATAGCGGGTCCGCGGCGTTGATCTCTTGAGCGTGAGCCTCTTCGGCCATTGGTCGCCGCACCGCTACGTCAGCCCGCTTCCCCGGCTGATGCTTGTATTTCAGGGCATGATGCGGGTCTGCTGGGTCAACATACTCTGTGCCACAAACACACCCTTCCGCCACCTGCAGCTGCTGAATTGGGAGCACGAGCCGTATAGCAGCAGCAATGCCACACTCAGCCGCGTTGAATGTGAGATCTGAATGAGCCGGGACCGCCGAAACCCATGCATCGGCCCTCGGCCATGAAGGGATGTGAAACGGGCTAGGGTGGCATCGTCACGAGCCAAGCGGAGCTCCTCTACAGCCAACTGCCGCTGCCGCTTCTGGAAAAGCCGAAGGGGAGGGGCCGCTACGCACATAGTTAAGCCCGGCATCTCTTGGCGAATTGTTTGTACCACGGTTGAATAACAAAGTTAAAAGAAGATGTGATACAATTTGTGTATTGCTCGTAGAAAATGGTTTTCATGTTCTCCCATATGACCACTGAGACGCAAGTGTTGGACTTATGCATAATTAGCTTACACTCTCTAGTTTCTAGCAGAATTTGGCTAAGCGACCCAGCATCAGATGTTGGTGTACTCGCTACACCTTGTTGGCGTCCGCGATTTTCGCACACAAGCAATCTCTCTCGATCTGTTCGCTCTGCTCATCTTCGAATTTCCCGCCAAGCTCCAAAAAAATAATCACAGCAGAAACACTGCGAAAGCTTTCAGTCGCATAACGCGTGGTAACCACACAGAAACTCCGCACACTCACGAAGCACCAAGCCTGGGATCAGGTCAAACTCCTTCACTCTTGGCGTTCCAGTTTAGCAGACTAATCTTAGTTAGGCGGTTGATTTAGTGGCGAGTACCTAGTTTAGGGAAAGCAGCGGCTTCTAAGGGTCACATCGTTAATGGTAAATCAGAGATTCTTGCATGTATCGGCTGGTTCGTTATTCACACTGACAGCAATTTTTTTTAATTCGCCAGGAAGTTCTTCACGGCTCAGCTACGAACAATATGGCAGGGACTAACATTGCTACCGCCTCCGGGATTGGCAGATTGCATTCTACTATCCGTTCAAGTTACCCTTTTACCTCAAAGCCTAGTAACTATCAAGGCATCACTTACCGTAACTCCGTTAGTGCTTTAATTCGTCCGCAACAGCAGGGAAATAAGGCGCCACATTCCCAAAATCGGGCTCAAACACCCATCCTCGGTACAACCGCAGGCACCATTCTTAGAAAGTCCAGTGTTTGCTGGGTGCAGGGACTGTCGCGAAGCGTTTTAACCTCTAAAGTTAACTCCAATAGTACCTGTAATAACCCTCACAATGTGAGGCTAATCAAGTCTCAAACTGAGCGTCCTACTCGGCGTTGTTGCGTGGCGGCCGCGTACTCTGCCGCGGATGGCGCGGATGGGGGAAGGGTTGGAGGCGGTGTTACGACGGAAACGAACAATTTGACGGTTTCCGTCTACGATGTGGACGACAATGGAGGAGACGAACCGTTTATGAGCCTTCCGATAAGTTATTACGAGGTACGAGGTTAGAATATAATGTGGACATGAAAGTGGGTTCAGTGTGTATGCATGCCTATCTTACTATCCCGCTTACACGCCGCTTGTACCGAGGCAAAGACCCTTCATTTGTGTTTTTGAAAATCCGTTTTCATGAAGACAAACTGAACATTGACGAAGTCCATCCCCCGACCCTGATAACACCTACTGCAGCACTTACAGCCTCATGCGGCCGCGTACACTCAGAGCAGCTGCTCTGATCGCATCCCCCAATCTCATCACTTCGAGTCCACCCCGAGGCTCCCACAGTCGCCGTCGACCTGATGCTCCACTCCATGGCCATGCTCGCCTCGTCCGTCCCTCTCATCACTGCCCCCGCTTCACCCCCCTCCTTTCGCCCACCCCAGGTGCTGAAAGCCAGCCCCACTGCATGCTCGCCTGTTTCTCTTTGCACTCCCTACACTTCCCTTGCCCTTCCCCCCAACCCTCCCACCCCCAGGTACTATGGGTCCACCCCGAGACCCCCACTGCCACCGTCGACCTCATGTTCCGCTGCATGCTCGCCTCGCCTCTCGTCACTTCCCCAACATCCCCCTTCCTCCTCCCCCCCTCTGTCCCCCACCCCAGGTGCAGAGAGTCCACCCCGAAACCCCAACGGCCACCATCGACCTCATGCTCGACTCCATGCTCGCCTCGCCTCTCATCACTTCCCCAACACCCCTCTCGCCCCCCTCGTCAACACCTTTCTCTCTCTCTCCCTTCCAGGTGCTGAGAGTTCACCCCGAAACCCCAACAGCCACCATCGACCTCATGCTCGACTCCATGCTCGCCTCGCCGCCTCAAGAAGGCTTCACCGTCTCCGCCCTCACGGTCAGGGCGGAAGTTTTGGAGGCTGCCCGGGACACGCTGCTGGACGTGGAGCTCCGGGCAGAGTATGACGAGGACCTGAAGGCAGCAGCTGCAGAGCAGCAGCAGGGGTTGGGGGGTGTGGGGAGAGGTGGAGGGGAGTACGGGGGCGAGACTGCGATCATGGTTGATGTGCCCATGAGCCGGGTGAGCTGTTGTTGTTTCTCTTCCCACCTCGTTTCTCCTCCTGAAACTGGTAGGTTGTTTATCTGTCATGATATTTTGTGTTCTTTCAGTTGTCACGCTCTTGCAAAATCTACAGTTCGATATGTACAGAAGTTTGATGTGTACATATATTGCTGTGTTATTGTCCATATATTTCCCAGGTCCCTGGCGTGTTGTGCCTGCTGCAAGAGGCGGGTCGCTCTGCTGACGTGGCAGAGGCGGGCCTCGACCTCCTCTCCCGCCCGGATGGCGATCCTGCTTTCCGTGCTGACGTGGCACTCGCCACAGCGTTGGCGTACTCAGACCTGTCGCGCGACGCCATGTCAGCGGACCCGCCTGCAGTGGCACAGGGCTGTGAGCTGCTGGAAGCTGCGCTGAAGCTTCTGCAGGTGAGTGTGCGTGGGAAGGCTTTGACCCGAGGTTTGGGGGTTTATGGTGTGAGGTTCTGGTTCCAAATGGTGTGTGTTGATCTAAGCTCAGGACGCCTTTGTTTTGTCTACTAATCCCTTCTCTCCAAGAATTCGCCCATCCCTCCACTCAGACTTCCTCTGTCTCACTGCTCATTCCTCACCCCCGTGCCGCGCCGCCCTGCCTCCGCCTCTTTGTCTACCTCTTATCCTCACATTCTCACGTCATCCCCTTTCCCGCTTCTCAGGGCGAACGGGGCCCATGTCTGCCCCCCATCCTTGTTTGAATCTCCTCAAATCAAACCCAAACTTTTTTCCTGGTACCGTCCGTCCTCTGCCTCTCTTCCTCCCCCTCTTCCTCTTCCCCATCCATCAGGACGAGGGCGGGCCAGGGCTGACGCCATCCCTCCCTGCAGGCAGCAATAGAGTAGTCGCTGCGGGATGAGGCCCACCCACGTGCTCTCGTTGTCACCCCCTGTCGCCACGTTTAAGCCTTCTCCCTTGTCTGTCTCTCCACCCCTTCCCCACGTTTAAGCATCCATGAGGACGAGGATGGGCCAGGGCTGACGCCATCCCTGCAGGCGGCAATAGAGGAGTCAGTCACCGGGTCGAAGCTTCTCAAACACAAACGTCCTCCTTGTGCCCGCAACCCCCCTCCGCTCCCCTTTTTTCCCCTTTCCTTGTCTCTCCCCTTCCTCAGGACGAGGGCGGACCAGGGCTGGCGCCACCCCTGCAGGCAGCAATAGAGGACTCGCTGCAGGAGATGGGGCCCACATGCTTTTGTTACCCCTGTCATATAAGCCTCTACCCTGCCTTTCCACCTCCTCTTCGTCAGGACGAAGGCGGACCTGCAGGCGGCCATAGAGGACTCGCTGAGGGAGATGGGCCCCACCCGCATGCCCTCTTTGCACCCTCTGTCGTTGAAGCGTTCTCCCGTGTCTGTCCACCTACCCTCCTCCCCCCATCAGGACGAGGGCGGGCCAAGCCTGGCGCCGTCCCTGCAGGCGGCCATAGAGGACTCGCTGAGGGAGATGGGCCCCACCCGCGTGCTGGAGCTGCTGGCGCTGCCCCTGGACAAGGAGCACGAGGACGCCCGGAGCGAGGGCATACAGGTGAGCGGATGGGTGGATGGGTGGGTGGGCGGGTGGGTTGTTAGGTGGGTGGGTAGGTGGGCTCTGGTTTCCCACATGCGCGCTCGAGCTGCTGGCGCTGCCCCTGGACAAGGAGCATGAGGAGGCCCGGAGCGAGGGCATACAGGTGAGCGGATGGTTGGGTGGGATGGGTGGGTGGGATGGGTGCGAATGGTGGCAGCTGAGCTTGCGGGATTGTAGTCTCACCACCTCAGAGCTCAGCTCATCGCGCACTTGCTCTTTCACCCGCAGGCCATGAAGGACCGCCTGCCTGCCTGACCTCCCACCTCATCGCCCGCTTGTCTCCCTGCCACTGCCTCTTCTCCCCACCCGGCCATGCGGGACCTCCTCTGCTCCCAGAACCCTGAGGCCACTCTCTCCTTTTCCTCCCAGGGCGGCTTCTCCCGCCATGTGTTCATGCGGGAGGCCTTCCTGCGCCTCACCACCTCCGAGCTCATCGCCCACTTTGCGCTGCCTCTCCTCTTTCCCCCTCAGGCCATGCGGGACATTCTGACCTCCGTGCTCATCGCCCACTTATCTCCCACTTCCTCTTTCCCCCTCTCTCCCTCCGTTCTTCTTCCTCCCACCAGGCCATGAGGGACCTGCTCTGGTCCCAAAGCCCAGACGGAGCACTGTCATTCTCCTCTCAGGGCGGCTTCTCCCGCCATGTGTTCATGCGGGAGGCCTTCCTGCGCCTCACCACCTCCGAGCTCATCGCCCACTTCGCTGCCGCCCCGCCGCACGTCGACGCCGGCATCCTCGAGGCCTACTGGGTCGCGCTCGCCTTTGCCGGCCGGGGATTCTTCCTGCGCCGCCCGGCCGACATCGTCCAGTCTGACGCGCTGCTCAAGGAGCTGAACGAGTCCACCGCGTACCGTTTGTTGGTTAACGTGAGCACGGGCGGCGGGATGGTGGAGGCGGGCGGCGGAGTGGCGGGGACTGGTGGTGTGGCCGGATTGGCCGGTGCGGGAGAGGGTGGGGGGGGAGCAGGCGAAGCAGGAGTGATTGCAGGAAGAGCAGGAGGAGGAGCGGGTGCAGGAGCGGGAGATCGGGGGCAAGGGGGAGCAGGGAGTGCAATGGCGATGGTGGCGGGGACGGACGTGCCAGCGGATCTGTCAGTAGAGAGGGCGATGTGCGCGCTGCTGCTGGGGCAGGTGGGCGCGTGCAAGCGGTGGCTGGGCGTGCATGTGACCCCTCCCTGTGGCGACCTTGCTGTCGCCGAGTATGTCTATGCCAACTCGCCTAACGCGCCACCGGTTGACTCGTGGTACGGCGGCAGCAGCAGTGCAGGCGGTAGCAGCAGCAGCAGCAGCAGCAGTGCAGGCAGTAGCAGCAGCAGCAGCAGCAGCAGTGCAGGTAGCAGCACAGCCCCTAGCCTCATCACAACGGCTGCAGCCGGAGCAAAAGCAGGAGCGGGAGGAGCGGGGGCAGGGGAGGAGGATGTGCTGTTACCGGGGCTGTGCCGGTTGCTAGAGGTGTGGCTGAGGGAGGTCGTAGCCATGCGGTTCAGAGACACCTCCCACCTCTCTGTTGTTCTCTCTGAGTACTTTGACCATCCTGCTGTGGGGAGTTTCTTGGATGCGTGGGATCAGGCGCAGGGTGTGGGGGGAGGGGGAGGAGGGAAGGTGGGGGAGAGTGGGAGAGGGGAGGGCGGCGGGATGCGGAATGCTGCTATGGAGGTGATTCGAGGGGTGTTTCCGTGGATGCAGGGAGGGGGTGATGCAGCAGCAGCAGCAGCAGCAGCAGGAGCCGCAGCTGAAAATCCTTTCATCGTTTCCACATCAGCCACCACCACCACCTCCTCCTCCTCCTCCCTCTCCCCACCCTTGCCCACCGATTCGTTACAAGACGACTCGTTACAAGACCCGTCATCGTCGCTCCCACCAGCAGAGCTCGCCCGATCACGCACCAGACGAGAGCTCTTTGGCGCCTCGCCCCTCCTCGACCCCCAAGGCTCACCCATCCCCCTCCGCACCGCCCAACCCGAATCCCTCCCCTCCTTGGGAATATCCGGGACCGAACCTGGGAGCAGCAGTGGCAGGGGTAGATTTGGTGGGAAGGTGGGGATGGTGGTGGCAGGGGTGGTGGCGGCGACGGTGGTGGCAGGGGGAGGGTTCATGGCATGGCGCATGCGGTCGGGGCGGTTTGGGCCGTCACTGCTGGGAGTGGAAGCGGCGATGGTGGGAGCAGCCAAGGAGCAGGCTGCTTCTGGTGAGTGTGGAGACTGTTTCATTCACAGTGGGTGTGCAGTAGGGGCTGGTATGGTTGCTAGGCTTGGGGTTTTGGGGCTTGGGGTTTGGGTTTCATGGCGTGGCGCATGCGATCGGGGCGGTTTGGGCCGTCGCTGCTGGGCGTGGAAGTGGCGATGGTGGGGCAGCAGGCCAAGGAGCAGGTGACTTCTGGTGAGTGGGAGGGTGTTGAATCCACAGAGGTTTGGTTTGTCGTTGCGGTCGGGGCGGTTTGAGCTGTCGCTGCTGGGGGTGGAAGCGGCGCAGGGCAAGGAGCAGGCGGCTTCTGGTGAGTGAGAAGGTTGTTTTACCCACAAAAGTGCGGTTGAGGCGTGTATTGAGACGTCTCAACACAAAAGTGCGGTTGAGGCGGGTATGGTTGTTGGGCTTGAGGTTTGCGGTTTGGGGTTCATGGCATGGCGCATGCGATCGGGGCAGTTTGGGCGGTCGCTGTTGGGCGTGGAGGGGGAGATGGTGGGGCAGGGCAAGGAGCAGTCGGCCTCTGATGAGTAGAAATGTTGTTTCAGGCAACGTGGTGTTTAAAGCCGTTGACCCAAATTGCACAAGTTGTAAAAGGATGACGCGAGGGGGTTTTTCTGGTATGGGGTTTGGCGAGTGATTTCAATTTCGTTTTCTTCGTTTTTTTCGCCAAACCCAACCTGCCCTTGTATTTCGCCCTGGGGGTCGGATCAGTTTCCGAAAGTCCCAAATTGCAGGCGCGTTAGTTTTCAAAGCTTGCACACTCAACTTCTTCAAGTTTTAAAAGGTTGACCCGCGCGGCCCGCAATTTGGGTCACGGGCTTTAAGACACAATGCTGTTTGAGGTGCTGTGGTGGCGGGGGGGTTGGTCGTTGCTCCCCACACTCCTCTCCGCAACTCTCACTCACTCTCCTCTCCCTCTCTCCTCTCTCTGCTCCCCACTCCCCTCTCATCCGTGACACTGGCCGATCGTCTTCTCATCACTTCACCGTCCCTCTTTTTGCCCTCCTTCTTTTGCTGGCAGAGGTAGCAGCAGGTGCAGAGGAGTACAGCGAGGTGGAGGAGGTGCAGTGGGCGGTGCGTGTGGTGAGGCACTGGCAGGAGGTGAAGGCGGCAGCGTTGGGCCCGCAGCACCGAGTGGATCGGCTGGGGGAGATTCTGGAAGGGCCCATGCTGGAGCTGTGGCGCAACAGAGCCAAGGAGGTGGAGAACAACGGGTGGTTCTGGGAATACAGCTTCTTGAGTCTCAATGTGAGTAAAGGTCTCTAAGCCTGAATGCGAGTTGTATATTGAGTTGACTCAAGGAAGGCGGCAGCACTGGGCCCGTCACACCGGGTGGATCGGCTGGGGGAGATCCTGGAGGGTCCCATGCTGGAGCTGTGGCGCAACAGAGCCAAGGAGGTGGAGAACAACGGGTGGTTCTGGGAGTACAGCTTCCTTAGTCTCAATGTGAGTAGTAGAGCTTCGTGTTGTGGGTTTGTGCCTTTTGTGTTGGCTCGAAACTCAATCCTGGAGGGTCCCATGCTGGAGCTGTGGCGCAACAGAGCCAAGGAGGTGGAGAACAACGGGTGGTTCTGGGAGTACAGCTTCCTTAGTCTCAATGTGAGTAGTAGAGCTTCGTGTTGTGGGTTTGTGCCTTTTGTGTTGGCTCGAAACTCAATCCTGGAGGGTCCCATGCTGGAGCTGTGGCGCAACAGAGCCAAGGAGGTGGAGAACAACGGGTGGTTCTGGGAGTACAGCTTCCTTAGTCTCAATGTGAGTAGTAGAGCTTCGTGTTGTGGGTTTGTGCCTTTTGTGTTGGCTCGAAACTCAATCCTGGAGGGTCCCATGCTGGAGCTGTGGCGCAACAGAGCCAAGGAGGTGGAGAACAACGGGTGGTTCTGGGAGTACAGCTTCCTTAGCCTCAATGTGAGTAGTAGAGCTTCGTGTTGTGGGTTTGTGCCTTTTGTGTTGGCTCGAAACTCAATCCTGGAGGGGCCCATGCTGGAGCTGTGGCGCAACAGGGCCAAGGAGGTGGAGAACAACGGGTGGTTCTGGGAGTACAGCTTTCTTAGTCTCAATGTGAGTAGAGGTTTCTCAGCTTCAACGTGAGTAGAGGTTTCTCAGCCTCAACGTGAGTAGAGGTTTCTATGCCTGAATGTGAGTTGTATTGTGTTTGTTCCTTTTGAGACGGCTTGAAACCCCATACTGGAGGGGCCGATGCTGGAGCTGTGGCGGAACAGGGCGAAGGAGGTGGAGGACAAGGAATGGTTCTCTGGGAGTACAGCTTCCTTAGTCTCAATGCAAGCTGGTTTGGTTTTGATAGGAGTAGTCTCGGCCCTAATGTGAGTGTGCGTGCAGATATTGTGCATGTGTGTTTTCATGTGTGTGTGTGGTGTTTGTGTGCGCAATCAGATTCAAATATAAGCTGCACATCCCTTTGTGGCAATGTGGTGGGCATGCAGATGGGAGGCAGCTCGGCTGGTGGATGCAGCTGACCTGAGTGAAAGGGTTCTGCTTTAGTGAAAGGGCTTTACGAGTTCTACTGAGCAATTTTCCAGGAAGATTTTCTAGTTTCGATCCTGTTGCTTTAAGCGTTTTCCAATCTTCAGAATTGCAGCTCTTCCGCTATGAGTGAAGATCAGATGGGAGGCAGCTCGGCTGGTGGATGCAGCTGACCTGACCCTACTCATGGCCCTCCCTCCCTTGCTGCGTTCCTCCCTCTCTTCCCCGCAGGTGGAGATGGCAGCAGTGAGCAAGTGTCAGAAAAAGGCAGTGGAGGAAGCAGTGGTGCAGGAGGAGGCATGACTGGTGGATGGATGCACCTTGGTGTTCATCCTCCCGCTGCTCCTTTTTTTCTCACACTGCATGCCCCCTTCACCCCATTCCTCTTTTTCCACAGGTGGAGATGGCAGCAGTGAGCAAGTGTCAGAAGAAGGCCGTAGTAGAGGCGGTTGTGCAGGAGGCAGCTTGGCTGGTGGATGAACCTTGATGTTCATCCCCCCACTTCCCCTTGACTCTCCCACTGCGTGCTCCCTTCATTCTACCCCTCCCCACAGGTGGAGATGGCAGCAGTGAGCAAGTGTCAGAAGAAAGCCGTAGTAGAGGCGGTGGTGCAGGAGGCGGCACGGCTGGTGGATGCAGCGGACCCGACCCACAACGATGCGTACAGAAGCACGTACACGGCGCGATACGAGCTGCTGCAGACCGGCACCTGCTGGAAGATCGTCGGCGGTACTGTGCTGCGATAGTGTGTGGTGATTTAGAGGCTTGTGCTGTGGGGTTGCGGTGTGCTGCTGTGAGTGGACGATGCGGTGGGTGTGTGCTGCAGACCGGCACCTGCTGGAAGATCGTTGGCGGCACCGTGCTGCGGTAGCACATAGGGATGACGCTTTTGGCAATTCTCATGAGTGGGGTGCGGGGGGATGGCAATGGAGATGCTGGTGTTGTTGTGCCGGGCGCTGCAGTGGCAAAGCAATGAAGATGTCGAACTCATACTGTGATGTGACTCTGATGTCAAATGATATGGGATGAGCTGGGCTTCGAGGGATGAGCTGGGCTGCCAGGCGGCCCCCTGGCCCCTGGGTATGGATGGGTACATGGATGGCGGCAGTGGGAGCTTCTCTCTCACCCAGCTGAACTGTGGCGAGGGACGCACACAAAAATGCATGTGCACCTACTCTGGAGTAGTGGTCTAATGCACTAACGAAGAAGGGAAGTGAGGGAGGGGTGAAAAATCGGGGATTTTTTCTGGCAGGCTAATGTATGTGTTGATCTAAGTTATTTCTGTGTGTAAGAGATGTTATGCCTGGACTGATTAGTAAATCATTGTCTTTCTATTGACGATGATATTTTTTCTCAACGTTTGTACATTTGACGAAAAGCATATGCCGCGTATCGTTCTCCCACATGTTTCCTGGTCACCTCGGTCGCTCCCGCAGTTTTGATCTGCGCTTTCCTGCCTGCAACACCTCTCAGGAATACCGCCACTTCAGCCCTTGGGATAATGACGTGCCATCAACTGCTGCGTTCGCCGCAGCACCTTCTCTCTCTTTCCCGCCTCTCTCCCGTGCCTTGCGGCGGATCAAACGTCAGCGCGTCACTCACAGCCACGTGTCGAGCCGGCATTGGCAGATCTCCTCTCTGGCGCGGAACCCCTCTTCTCACAGACGAACGGTCAAGACTTCTCCATCGGCGGCATCGCAGTTCCGTCGTCCGAGCCGTGGCAGCAGCAGGAGCTGATGACGTGTCGGCCAGCTCAGCTACCAGTGGCGAGTCGCAACGGCCGCATTCCGCCATTCGTGAAATTCAGGTACTTCACTCGCGATCGTGACCTTGCGCGTTGAATCAAAGAGGGACGGAATGAGGAGCGGAGCGAGGGGGAGAGGGGGAGCGAGTGGAGGAGGAGAGCGAGGGAGGGCGAGGATGGTGGGGAGGCGAGGGTAGTAGGAAGGGCCGTCAACCCGTGCAACCTCTCTCATCGTATCTTGACCTTGGGATCTCAATGCAGCAAGTGGAGAGCGGAGGTGGGGGAAAAGTGGGGGGGAAGAAGTGTGGGTGGGGAAGAGGGGGCGGGGGAGGAGGTCGTAGACCATTGGGCAGGCGTCAACCCTCATTCAGTGTTGACCGACCACTCTTGTGTTGACCGACCACTCTAGTGTTGACCGACCACTCTAGTGTTGACCGACCACTCTAGTGTTGACCGACCACTCTAGTGTTGACCTACCACTCTAGTGTTGACCTACCCATCTTCCCCCCCTGGTCCTCTTCTTCCCCTTCTTCCTCTTCTTCCTCTTCTTCCCCTTCTCCCCGTCTCCCCTTCCTTCACCGGGGGCCTCCTTCCTCCCGTTTCGAATCCTCATCTCTCTACCCCTTATGACTCCCTCATGGCTTTCCCCCTTCCTCTCTCCTTGCCAATCGGCCACTTCGCCCCACCCACCCACCGACCCACCGACCCACTCCCTCAACCCCATTCCTCCAACCCCATCCCTCCAACCCCAATCCACCAACCCCAATCCAACAACCCCGCAGCGCCAGCTGGCCAATGGCGAGCGGACAGCTGTGGGCGTGGCGGAGGAGTACCTGGAGCGGCTGGAGGCGCAGGAGGGGCAGCTGAGAAGCTTCCTCCACACGGACAGGTAGTTTCTCCGACAGGGGCAGGAAGCTTCCTCCTGACGGCTACGCACGGGTTGCACTGTACCACATCAGGTTTCTTGCTAGGCTGTTAGCTGTGTCAAGTCACGCAAAGTCGTCTTAAGTCAACCGAAGTTAATCAAGTCAACTCCAGTCAACCAGAGTCAACTGAGTCAACTCAGGACACTCTGGGACGATTGACAGTGAGTGTGGTGAAGGGACAGCTTGAGAGGTTAGGGGGGGTGTAAGTAAAAACCTTGAACCTTGATTCTTAAACCCTGAATCTGAGCCATGTGAGAACCTCCCTCCTCACTCACCCCGTTCCTCTTACCTTCCCCCTTCCGGCTCTTTTTTTTTTTCGATGCAGGGAGGCGGTGCTGCAGCAGGCACGGGAAGTTGATGCTGCCCTGGCGTCTCAGTCGGGCAGCGGAGAGAAAACTTTGGGGCTGCTGACCGGAGTGCCCATGGGAGTGAAGGACAACCTGTGCACACGTGGCATGCCCTCCACCGCTGCCTCTAAGATCCTCAAGGTCTGCTGACGTGGGGGATGCTGATGTGCCAAGCGCTTGCATGAAGATCCTCAACCTCCCAACGCTTGGTCATGTTGCTCCCACTTCCATCCTTCATTTTTTGCTAGTGTGCGATTTGCTTGTGTGTGTTTCTTCGTGTAACCCCTACACTACATCACACCACCGAAGGGCTACATGCCGCCGCCATACGATGCGACAGCGGTGGGGAGGGTGAAGGCGGAGGGGGCAGTGGTGGTGGGGAAGACAAACTAGTATGCGCTTTTTTCTTCTCTGCATTTCTTGTGTGTGCGTTGCTCTCTGTATCTCCCCACCCATCCACCACACCGCAGGGATACATGCCGCCATACGATGCGACAGCGGTGGGAAGGGTGAAGGCGGAGGGGGCAGTGGTGGTGGGGAAGACAAACTAGTATGCGCTTTTTTCTTCTCTGCATTTCTTGTGTGTGCGTTGCTCTCTGTATCTCCCCACCCATCCACCACACCGCAGGGATACATGCCGCCATACGATGCGACAGCGGTGGGAAGGGTGAAGGCGGAGGGGGCAGTGGTGGTGGGGAAGACAAACTAGTATGCGCTTTTTTCTTCTCTGCATTTCTTGTGTGTGCGTTGCTCTCTGTATCTCCCCACCCATCCACCACACCGCAGGGATACATGCCGCCATACGATGCGACAGCGGTGGGAAGGGTGAAGGCGGAGGGGGCAGTGGTGGTGGGGAAGACAAACTAGTATGCGCTTTTTTCTTCTCTGCATTTCTTGTGTGTGCGTTGCTCTCTGTATCTCCCCACCCATCCACCACACCGCAGGGATACATGCCGCCATACGATGCGACAGCGGTGGGAAGGGTGAAGGCGGAGGGGGCAGTGGTGGTGGGGAAGACAAACTAGTATGCGCTTTTTTCTTCTCTGCATTTCTTGTGTGTGCGTTGCTCTCTGTATCTCCCCACCCATCCACCACACCGCAGGGATACATGCCGCCATACGATGCGACAGCGGTGGGAAGGGTGAAGGCGGAGGGGGCAGTGGTGGTGGGGAAGACAAACTAGTATGCGCTTTTTTCTTCTCTGCATTTCTTGTGTGTGCGTTGCTCTCTGTATCTCCCCACCCATCCACCACACCGCAGGGATACATGCCGCCATACGATGCGACAGCGGTGGGAAGGGTGAAGGCGGAGGGGGCAGTGGTGGTGGGGAAGACAAACTAGTATGCGCTTTTTTCTTCTCTGCATTTCTTGTGTGTGCGTTGCTCTCTGTATCTCCCCACCCATCCACCACACCGCAGGGATACATGCCGCCATACGATGCGACAGCGGTGGGAAGGGTGAAGGCGGAGGGGGCAGTGGTGGTGGGGAAGACAAACTAGTATGCGCTTTTTTCTTCTCTGCATTTCTTGTGTGTGCGTTGCTCTCTGTATCTCCCCACCCATCCACCACACCGCAGGGATACATGCCGCCATACGATGCGACAGCGGTGGGAAGGGTGAAGGCGGAGGGGGCAGTGGTGGTGGGGAAGACAAACTAGTATGCGCTTTTTTCTTCTCTGCATTTCTTGTGTGTGCGTTGCTCTCTGTATCTCCCCACCCATCCACCACACCGCAGGGATACATGCCGCCATACGATGCGACAGCGGTGGGAAGGGTGAAGGCGGAGGGGGCAGTGGTGGTGGGGAAGACAAACTAGTATGCGCTTTTTTCTTCTCTGCATTTCTTGTGTGTGCGTTGCTCTCTGTATCTCCCCACCCATCCACCACACCGCAGGGATACATGCCGCCATACGATGCGACAGCGGTGGGAAGGGTGAAGGCGGAGGGGGCAGTGGTGGTGGGGAAGACAAACTAGTATGCGCTTTTTTCTTCTCTGCATTTCTTGTGTGTGCGTTGCTCTCTGTATCTCCCCACCCATCCACCACACCGCAGGGATACATGCCGCCATACGATGCGACAGCGGTGGGAAGGGTGAAGGCGGAGGGGGCAGTGGTGGTGGGGAAGACAAACTAGTATGCGCTTTTTTCTTCTCTGCATTTCTTGTGTGTGCGTTGCTCTCTGTATCTCCCCACCCATCCACCACACCGCAGGGATACATGCCGCCATACGATGCGACAGCGGTGGGAAGGGTGAAGGCGGAGGGGGCAGTGGTGGTGGGGAAGACAAACTAGTATGCGCTTTTTTCTTCTCTGCATTTCTTGTGTGTGCGTTGCTCTCTGTATCTCCCCACCCATCCACCACACCGCAGGGATACATGCCGCCATACGATGCGACAGCGGTGGGAAGGGTGAAGGCGGAGGGGGCAGTGGTGGTGGGGAAGACAAACTAGTATGCGCTTTTTTCTTCTCTGCATTTCTTGTGTGTGCGTTGCTCTCTGTATCTCCCCACCCATCCACCACACCGCAGGGATACATGCCGCCATACGATGCGACAGCGGTGGGAAGGGTGAAGGCGGAGGGGGCAGTGGTGGTGGGGAAGACAAACTAGTATGCGCTTTTTTCTTCTCTGCATTTCTTGTGTGTGCGTTGCTCTCTGTATCTCCCCACCCATCCACCACACCGCAGGGATACATGCCGCCATACGATGCGACAGCGGTGGGAAGGGTGAAGGCGGAGGGGGCAGTGGTGGTGGGGAAGACAAACTAGTATGCGCTTTTTTCTTCTCTGCATTTCTTGTGTGTGCGTTGCTCTCTGTATCTCCCCACCCATCCACCACACCGCAGGGATACATGCCGCCATACGATGCGACAGCGGTGGGAAGGGTGAAGGCGGAGGGGGCAGTGGTGGTGGGGAAGACAAACTAGTATGCGCTTTTTTCTTCTCTGCATTTCTTGTGTGTGCGTTGCTCTCTGTATCTCCCCACCCATCCACCACACCGCAGGGATACATGCCGCCATACGATGCGACAGCGGTGGGAAGGGTGAAGGCGGAGGGGGCAGTGGTGGTGGGGAAGACAAACTAGTATGCGCTTTTTTCTTCTCTGCATTTCTTGTGTGTGCGTTGCTCTCTGTATCTCCCCACCCATCCACCACACCGCAGGGATACATGCCGCCATACGATGCGACAGCGGTGGGAAGGGTGAAGGCGGAGGGGGCAGTGGTGGTGGGGAAGACAAACTAGTATGCGCTTTTTTCTTCTCTGCATTTCTTGTGTGTGCGTTGCTCTCTGTATCTCCCCACCCATCCACCACACCGCAGGGATACATGCCGCCATACGATGCGACAGCGGTGGGAAGGGTGAAGGCGGAGGGGGCAGTGGTGGTGGGGAAGACAAACTAGTATGCGCTTTTTTCTTCTCTGCATTTCTTGTGTGTGCGTTGCTCTCTGTATCTCCCCACCCATCCACCACACCGCAGGGATACATGCCGCCATACGATGCGACAGCGGTGGGAAGGGTGAAGGCGGAGGGGGCAGTGGTGGTGGGGAAGACAAACTAGTATGCGCTTTTTTCTTCTCTGCATTTCTTGTGTGTGCGTTGCTCTCTGTATCTCCCCACCCATCCACCACACCGCAGGGATACATGCCGCCATACGATGCGACAGCGGTGGGAAGGGTGAAGGCGGAGGGGGCAGTGGTGGTGGGGAAGACAAACTAGTATGCGCTTTTTTCTTCTCTGCATTTCTTGTGTGTGCGTTGCTCTCTGTATCTCCCCACCCATCCACCACACCGCAGGGATACATGCCGCCATACGATGCGACAGCGGTGGGAAGGGTGAAGGCGGAGGGGGCAGTGGTGGTGGGGAAGACAAACTAGTATGCGCTTTTTTCTTCTCTGCATTTCTTGTGTGTGCGTTGCTCTCTGTATCTCCCCACCCATCCACCACACCGCAGGGATACATGCCGCCATACGATGCGACAGCGGTGGGAAGGGTGAAGGCGGAGGGGGCAGTGGTGGTGGGGAAGACAAACTAGTATGCGCTTTTTTCTTCTCTGCATTTCTTGTGTGTGCGTTGCTCTCTGTATCTCCCCACCCATCCACCACACCGCAGGGATACATGCCGCCATACGATGCGACAGCGGTGGGAAGGGTGAAGGCGGAGGGGGCAGTGGTGGTGGGGAAGACAAACTAGTATGCGCTTTTTTCTTCTCTGCATTTCTTGTGTGTGCGTTGCTCTCTGTATCTCCCCACCCATCCACCACACCGCAGGGATACATGCCGCCATACGATGCGACAGCGGTGGGAAGGGTGAAGGCGGAGGGGGCAGTGGTGGTGGGGAAGACAAACTAGTATGCGCTTTTTTCTTCTCTGCATTTCTTGTGTGTGCGTTGCTCTCTGTATCTCCCCACCCATCCACCACACCGCAGGGATACATGCCGCCATACGATGCGACAGCGGTGGGAAGGGTGAAGGCGGAGGGGGCAGTGGTGGTGGGGAAGACAAACTAGTATGCGCTTTTTTCTTCTCTGCATTTCTTGTGTGTGCGTTGCTCTCTGTATCTCCCCACCCATCCACCACACCGCAGGGATACATGCCGCCATACGATGCGACAGCGGTGGGAAGGGTGAAGGCGGAGGGGGCAGTGGTGGTGGGGAAGACAAACTAGTATGCGCTTTTTTCTTCTCTGCATTTCTTGTGTGTGCGTTGCTCTCTGTATCTCCCCACCCATCCACCACACCGCAGGGATACATGCCGCCATACGATGCGACAGCGGTGGGAAGGGTGAAGGCGGAGGGGGCAGTGGTGGTGGGGAAGACAAACTAGTATGCGCTTTTTTCTTCTCTGCATTTCTTGTGTGTGCGTTGCTCTCTGTATCTCCCCACCCATCCACCACACCGCAGGGATACATGCCGCCATACGATGCGACAGCGGTGGGAAGGGTGAAGGCGGAGGGGGCAGTGGTGGTGGGGAAGACAAACTAGTATGCGCTTTTTTCTTCTCTGCATTTCTTGTGTGTGCGTTGCTCTCTGTATCTCCCCACCCATCCACCACACCGCAGGGATACATGCCGCCATACGATGCGACAGCGGTGGGAAGGGTGAAGGCGGAGGGGGCAGTGGTGGTGGGGAAGACAAACTAGTATGCGCTTTTTTCTTCTCTGCATTTCTTGTGTGTGCGTTGCTCTCTGTATCTCCCCACCCATCCACCACACCGCAGGGATACATGCCGCCATACGATGCGACAGCGGTGGGAAGGGTGAAGGCGGAGGGGGCAGTGGTGGTGGGGAAGACAAACTAGTATGCGCTTTTTTCTTCTCTGCATTTCTTGTGTGTGCGTTGCTCTCTGTATCTCCCCACCCATCCACCACACCGCAGGGATACATGCCGCCATACGATGCGACAGCGGTGGGAAGGGTGAAGGCGGAGGGGGCAGTGGTGGTGGGGAAGACAAACTAGTATGCGCTTTTTTCTTCTCTGCATTTCTTGTGTGTGCGTTGCTCTCTGTATCTCCCCACCCATCCACCACACCGCAGGGATACATGCCGCCATACGATGCGACAGCGGTGGGAAGGGTGAAGGCGGAGGGGGCAGTGGTGGTGGGGAAGACAAACTAGTATGCGCTTTTTTCTTCTCTGCATTTCTTGTGTGTGCGTTGCTCTCTGTATCTCCCCACCCATCCACCACACCGCAGGGATACATGCCGCCATACGATGCGACAGCGGTGGGAAGGGTGAAGGCGGAGGGGGCAGTGGTGGTGGGGAAGACAAACTAGTATGCGCTTTTTTCTTCTCTGCATTTCTTGTGTGTGCGTTGCTCTCTGTATCTCCCCACCCATCCACCACACCGCAGGGATACATGCCGCCATACGATGCGACAGCGGTGGGAAGGGTGAAGGCGGAGGGGGCAGTGGTGGTGGGGAAGACAAACTAGTATGCGCTTTTTTCTTCTCTGCATTTCTTGTGTGTGCGTTGCTCTCTGTATCTCCCCACCCATCCACCACACCGCAGGGATACATGCCGCCATACGATGCGACAGCGGTGGGAAGGGTGAAGGCGGAGGGGGCAGTGGTGGTGGGGAAGACAAACTAGTATGCGCTTTTTTCTTCTCTGCATTTCTTGTGTGTGCGTTGCTCTCTGTATCTCCCCACCCATCCACCACACCGCAGGGATACATGCCGCCATACGATGCGACAGCGGTGGGAAGGGTGAAGGCGGAGGGGGCAGTGGTGGTGGGGAAGACAAACTAGTATGCGCTTTTTTCTTCTCTGCATTTCTTGTGTGTGCGTTGCTCTCTGTATCTCCCCACCCATCCACCACACCGCAGGGATACATGCCGCCATACGATGCGACAGCGGTGGGAAGGGTGAAGGCGGAGGGGGCAGTGGTGGTGGGGAAGACAAACTAGTATGCGCTTTTTTCTTCTCTGCATTTCTTGTGTGTGCGTTGCTCTCTGTATCTCCCCACCCATCCACCACACCGCAGGGATACATGCCGCCATACGATGCGACAGCGGTGGGAAGGGTGAAGGCGGAGGGGGCAGTGGTGGTGGGGAAGACAAACTAGTATGCGCTTTTTTCTTCTCTGCATTTCTTGTGTGTGCGTTGCTCTCTGTATCTCCCCACCCATCCACCACACCGCAGGGATACATGCCGCCATACGATGCGACAGCGGTGGGAAGGGTGAAGGCGGAGGGGGCAGTGGTGGTGGGGAAGACAAACTAGTATGCGCTTTTTTCTTCTCTGCATTTCTTGTGTGTGCGTTGCTCTCTGTATCTCCCCACCCATCCACCACACCGCAGGGATACATGCCGCCATACGATGCGACAGCGGTGGGAAGGGTGAAGGCGGAGGGGGCAGTGGTGGTGGGGAAGACAAACTAGTATGCGCTTTTTTCTTCTCTGCATTTCTTGTGTGTGCGTTGCTCTCTGTATCTCCCCACCCATCCACCACACCGCAGGGATACATGCCGCCATACGATGCGACAGCGGTGGGAAGGGTGAAGGCGGAGGGGGCAGTGGTGGTGGGGAAGACAAACTAGTATGCGCTTTTTTCTTCTCTGCATTTCTTGTGTGTGCGTTGCTCTCTGTATCTCCCCACCCATCCACCACACCGCAGGGATACATGCCGCCATACGATGCGACAGCGGTGGGAAGGGTGAAGGCGGAGGGGGCAGTGGTGGTGGGGAAGACAAACTAGTATGCGCTTTTTTCTTCTCTGCATTTCTTGTGTGTGCGTTGCTCTCTGTATCTCCCCACCCATCCACCACACCGCAGGGATACATGCCGCCATACGATGCGACAGCGGTGGGAAGGGTGAAGGCGGAGGGGGCAGTGGTGGTGGGGAAGACAAACTAGTATGCGCTTTTTTCTTCTCTGCATTTCTTGTGTGTGCGTTGCTCTCTGTATCTCCCCACCCATCCACCACACCGCAGGGATACATGCCGCCATACGATGCGACAGCGGTGGGAAGGGTGAAGGCGGAGGGGGCAGTGGTGGTGGGGAAGACAAACTAGTATGCGCTTTTTTCTTCTCTGCATTTCTTGTGTGTGCGTTGCTCTCTGTATCTCCCCACCCATCCACCACACCGCAGGGATACATGCCGCCATACGATTCGACAGCGGTGGGAAGGGTGAAGGCGGAGGGGGCAGTGGTGGTGGGGAAGACAAACTAGTATGCGCTTTTTTCTTCTCTGCATTTCTTGTGTGTGCGTTGCTCTCTGTATCTCCCCACCCATCCACCACACCGCAGGGATACATGCCGCCATACGATGCGACAGCGGTGGGAAGGGTGAAGGCGGAGGGGGCAGTGGTGGTGGGGAAGACAAACTAGTATGCGCTTTTTTCTTCTCTGCATTTCTTGTGTGTGCGTTGCTCTCTGTATCTCCCCACCCATCCACCACACCGCAGGGATACATGCCGCCATACGATGCGACAGCGGTGGGAAGGGTGAAGGCGGAGGGGGCAGTGGTGGTGGGGAAGACAAACTAGTATGCGCTTTTTTCTTCTCTGCATTTCTTGTGTGTGCGTTGCTCTCTGTATCTCCCCACCCATCCACCACACCGCAGGGATACATGCCGCCATACGATGCGACAGCGGTGGGAAGGGTGAAGGCGGAGGGGGCAGTGGTGGTGGGGAAGACAAACTAGTATGCGCTTTTTTCTTCTCTGCATTTCTTGTGTGTGCGTTGCTCTCTGTATCTCCCCACCCATCCACCACACCGCAGGGATACATGCCGCCATACGATGCGACAGCGGTGGGAAGGGTGAAGGCGGAGGGGGCAGTGGTGGTGGGGAAGACAAACTAGTATGCGCTTTTTTCTTCTCTGCATTTCTTGTGTGTGCGTTGCTCTCTGTATCTCCCCACCCATCCACCACACCGCAGGGATACATGCCGCCATACGATGCGACAGCGGTGGGAAGGGTGAAGGCGGAGGGGGCAGTGGTGGTGGGGAAGACAAACTAGTATGCGCTTTTTTCTTCTCTGCATTTCTTGTGTGTGCGTTGCTCTCTGTATCTCCCCACCCATCCACCACACCGCAGGGATACATGCCGCCATACGATGCGACAGCGGTGGGAAGGGTGAAGGCGGAGGGGGCAGTGGTGGTGGGGAAGACAAACTAGTATGCGCTTTTTTCTTCTCTGCATTTCTTGTGTGTGCGTTGCTCTCTGTATCTCCCCACCCATCCACCACACCGCAGGGATACATGCCGCCATACGATGCGACAGCGGTGGGAAGGGTGAAGGCGGAGGGGGCAGTGGTGGTGGGGAAGACAAACTAGTATGCGCTTTTTTCTTCTCTGCATTTCTTGTGTGTGCGTTGCTCTCTGTATCTCCCCACCCATCCACCACACCGCAGGGATACATGCCGCCATACGATGCGACAGCGGTGGGAAGGGTGAAGGCGGAGGGGGCAGTGGTGGTGGGGAAGACAAACTAGTATGCGCTTTTTTCTTCTCTGCATTTCTTGTGTGTGCGTTGCTCTCTGTATCTCCCCACCCATCCACCACACCGCAGGGATACATGCCGCCATACGATGCGACAGCGGTGGGAAGGGTGAAGGCGGAGGGGGCAGTGGTGGTGGGGAAGACAAACTAGTATGCGCTTTTTTCTTCTCTGCATTTCTTGTGTGTGCGTTGCTCTCTGTATCTCCCCACCCATCCACCACACCGCAGGGATACATGCCGCCATACGATGCGACAGCGGTGGGAAGGGTGAAGGCGGAGGGGGCAGTGGTGGTGGGGAAGACAAACTAGTATGCGCTTTTTTCTTCTCTGCATTTCTTGTGTGTGCGTTGCTCTCTGTATCTCCCCACCCATCCACCACACCGCAGGGATACATGCCGCCATACGATGCGACAGCGGTGGGAAGGGTGAAGGCGGAGGGGGCAGTGGTGGTGGGGAAGACAAACTAGTATGCGCTTTTTTCTTCTCTGCATTTCTTGTGTGTGCGTTGCTCTCTGTATCTCCCCACCCATCCACCACACCGCAGGGATACATGCCGCCATACGATGCGACAGCGGTGGGAAGGGTGAAGGCGGAGGGGGCAGTGGTGGTGGGGAAGACAAACTAGTATGCGCTTTTTTCTTCTCTGCATTTCTTGTGTGTGCGTTGCTCTCTGTATCTCCCCACCCATCCACCACACCGCAGGGATACATGCCGCCATACGATGCGACAGCGGTGGGAAGGGTGAAGGCGGAGGGGGCAGTGGTGGTGGGGAAGACAAACTAGTATGCGCTTTTTTCTTCTCTGCATTTCTTGTGTGTGCGTTGCTCTCTGTATCTCCCCACCCATCCACCACACCGCAGGGATACATGCCGCCATACGATGCGACAGCGGTGGGAAGGGTGAAGGCGGAGGGGGCAGTGGTGGTGGGGAAGACAAACTAGTATGCGCTTTTTTCTTCTCTGCATTTCTTGTGTGTGCGTTGCTCTCTGTATCTCCCCACCCATCCACCACACCGCAGGGATACATGCCGCCATACGATGCGACAGCGGTGGGAAGGGTGAAGGCGGAGGGGGCAGTGGTGGTGGGGAAGACAAACTAGTATGCGCTTTTTTCTTCTCTGCATTTCTTGTGTGTGCGTTGCTCTCTGTATCTCCCCACCCATCCACCACACCGCAGGGATACATGCCGCCATACGATGCGACAGCGGTGGGAAGGGTGAAGGCGGAGGGGGCAGTGGTGGTGGGGAAGACAAACTAGTATGCGCTTTTTTCTTCTCTGCATTTCTTGTGTGTGCGTTGCTCTCTGTATCTCCCCACCCATCCACCACACCGCAGGGATACATGCCGCCATACGATGCGACAGCGGTGGGAAGGGTGAAGGCGGAGGGGGCAGTGGTGGTGGGGAAGACAAACTAGTATGCGCTTTTTTCTTCTCTGCATTTCTTGTGTGTGCGTTGCTCTCTGTATCTCCCCACCCATCCACCACACCGCAGGGATACATGCCGCCATACGATGCGACAGCGGTGGGAAGGGTGAAGGCGGAGGGGGCAGTGGTGGTGGGGAAGACAAACTAGTATGCGCTTTTTTCTTCTCTGCATTTCTTGTGTGTGCGTTGCTCTCTGTATCTCCCCACCCATCCACCACACCGCAGGGATACATGCCGCCATACGATGCGACAGCGGTGGGAAGGGTGAAGGCGGAGGGGGCAGTGGTGGTGGGGAAGACAAACTAGTATGCGCTTTTTTCTTCTCTGCATTTCTTGTGTGTGCGTTGCTCTCTGTATCTCCCCACCCATCCACCACACCGCAGGGATACATGCCGCCATACGATGCGACAGCGGTGGGAAGGGTGAAGGCGGAGGGGGCAGTGGTGGTGGGGAAGACAAACTAGTATGCGCTTTTTTCTTCTCTGCATTTCTTGTGTGTGCGTTGCTCTCTGTATCTCCCCACCCATCCACCACACCGCAGGGATACATGCCGCCATACGATGCGACAGCGGTGGGAAGGGTGAAGGCGGAGGGGGCAGTGGTGGTGGGGAAGACAAACTAGTATGCGCTTTTTTCTTCTCTGCATTTCTTGTGTGTGCGTTGCTCTCTGTATCTCCCCACCCATCCACCACACCGCAGGGATACATGCCGCCATACGATGCGACAGCGGTGGGAAGGGTGAAGGCGGAGGGGGCAGTGGTGGTGGGGAAGACAAACTAGTATGCGCTTTTTTCTTCTCTGCATTTCTTGTGTGTGCGTTGCTCTCTGTATCTCCCCACCCATCCACCACACCGCAGGGATACATGCCGCCATACGATGCGACAGCGGTGGGAAGGGTGAAGGCGGAGGGGGCAGTGGTGGTGGGGAAGACAAACTAGTATGCGCTTTTTTCTTCTCTGCATTTCTTGTGTGTGCGTTGCTCTCTGTATCTCCCCACCCATCCACCACACCGCAGGGATACATGCCGCCATACGATGCGACAGCGGTGGGAAGGGTGAAGGCGGAGGGGGCAGTGGTGGTGGGGAAGACAAACTAGTATGCGCTTTTTTCTTCTCTGCATTTCTTGTGTGTGCGTTGCTCTCTGTATCTCCCCACCCATCCACCACACCGCAGGGATACATGCCGCCATACGATGCGACAGCGGTGGGAAGGGTGAAGGCGGAGGGGGCAGTGGTGGTGGGGAAGACAAACTAGTATGCGCTTTTTTCTTCTCTGCATTTCTTGTGTGTGCGTTGCTCTCTGTATCTCCCCACCCATCCACCACACCGCAGGGATACATGCCGCCATACGATGCGACAGCGGTGGGAAGGGTGAAGGCGGAGGGGGCAGTGGTGGTGGGGAAGACAAACTAGTATGCGCTTTTTTCTTCTCTGCATTTCTTGTGTGTGCGTTGCTCTCTGTATCTCCCCACCCATCCACCACACCGCAGGGATACATGCCGCCATACGATGCGACAGCGGTGGGAAGGGTGAAGGCGGAGGGGGCAGTGGTGGTGGGGAAGACAAACTAGTATGCGCTTTTTTCTTCTCTGCATTTCTTGTGTGTGCGTTGCTCTCTGTATCTCCCCACCCATCCACCACACCGCAGGGATACATGCCGCCATACGATGCGACAGCGGTGGGAAGGGTGAAGGCGGAGGGGGCAGTGGTGGTGGGGAAGACAAACTAGTATGCGCTTTTTTCTTCTCTGCATTTCTTGTGTGTGCGTTGCTCTCTGTATCTCCCCACCCATCCACCACACCGCAGGGATACATGCCGCCATACGATGCGACAGCGGTGGGAAGGGTGAAGGCGGAGGGGGCAGTGGTGGTGGGGAAGACAAACTAGTATGCGCTTTTTTCTTCTCTGCATTTCTTGTGTGTGCGTTGCTCTCTGTATCTCCCCACCCATCCACCACACCGCAGGGATACATGCCGCCATACGATGCGACAGCGGTGGGAAGGGTGAAGGCGGAGGGGGCAGTGGTGGTGGGGAAGACAAACTAGTATGCGCTTTTTTCTTCTCTGCATTTCTTGTGTGTGCGTTGCTCTCTGTATCTCCCCACCCATCCACCACACCGCAGGGATACATGCCGCCATACGATGCGACAGCGGTGGGAAGGGTGAAGGCGGAGGGGGCAGTGGTGGTGGGGAAGACAAACTAGTATGCGCTTTTTTCTTCTCTGCATTTCTTGTGTGTGCGTTGCTCTCTGTATCTCCCCACCCATCCACCACACCGCAGGGATACATGCCGCCATACGATGCGACAGCGGTGGGAAGGGTGAAGGCGGAGGGGGCAGTGGTGGTGGGGAAGACAAACTAGTATGCGCTTTTTTCTTCTCTGCATTTCTTGTGTGTGCGTTGCTCTCTGTATCTCCCCACCCATCCACCACACCGCAGGGATACATGCCGCCATACGATGCGACAGCGGTGGGAAGGGTGAAGGCGGAGGGGGCAGTGGTGGTGGGGAAGACAAACTAGTATGCGCTTTTTTCTTCTCTGCATTTCTTGTGTGTGCGTTGCTCTCTGTATCTCCCCACCCATCCACCACACCGCAGGGATACATGCCGCCATACGATGCGACAGCGGTGGGAAGGGTGAAGGCGGAGGGGGCAGTGGTGGTGGGGAAGACAAACTAGTATGCGCTTTTTTCTTCTCTGCATTTCTTGTGTGTGCGTTGCTCTCTGTATCTCCCCACCCATCCACCACACCGCAGGGATACATGCCGCCATACGATGCGACAGCGGTGGGAAGGGTGAAGGCGGAGGGGGCAGTGGTGGTGGGGAAGACAAACTAGTATGCGCTTTTTTCTTCTCTGCATTTCTTGTGTGTGCGTTGCTCTCTGTATCTCCCCACCCATCCACCACACCGCAGGGATACATGCCGCCATACGATGCGACAGCGGTGGGAAGGGTGAAGGCGGAGGGGGCAGTGGTGGTGGGGAAGACAAACTAGTATGCGCTTTTTTCTTCTCTGCATTTCTTGTGTGTGCGTTGCTCTCTGTATCTCCCCACCCATCCACCACACCGCAGGGATACATGCCGCCATACGATGCGACAGCGGTGGGAAGGGTGAAGGCGGAGGGGGCAGTGGTGGTGGGGAAGACAAACTAGTATGCGCTTTTTTCTTCTCTGCATTTCTTGTGTGTGCGTTGCTCTCTGTATCTCCCCACCCATCCACCACACCGCAGGGATACATGCCGCCATACGATGCGACAGCGGTGGGAAGGGTGAAGGCGGAGGGGGCAGTGGTGGTGGGGAAGACAAACTAGTATGCGCTTTTTTCTTCTCTGCATTTCTTGTGTGTGCGTTGCTCTCTGTATCTCCCCACCCATCCACCACACCGCAGGGATACATGCCGCCATACGATGCGACAGCGGTGGGAAGGGTGAAGGCGGAGGGGGCAGTGGTGGTGGGGAAGACAAACTAGTATGCGCTTTTTTCTTCTCTGCATTTCTTGTGTGTGCGTTGCTCTCTGTATCTCCCCACCCATCCACCACACCGCAGGGATACATGCCGCCATACGATGCGACAGCGGTGGGAAGGGTGAAGGCGGAGGGGGCAGTGGTGGTGGGGAAGACAAACTAGTATGCGCTTTTTTCTTCTCTGCATTTCTTGTGTGTGCGTTGCTCTCTGTATCTCCCCACCCATCCACCACACCGCAGGGATACATGCCGCCATACGATGCGACAGCGGTGGGAAGGGTGAAGGCGGAGGGGGCAGTGGTGGTGGGGAAGACAAACATGGACGAGTTCGGCATGGGCAGCACCACTGAAGGGTCTGGTTACCAGGTAACCTCTGTGTGTGAGTCATGAACGCATGAGTGCATGTGGTCCATCCATGTGTGCTTGCATGCATTAACATGGACGAGTTCGGCATGGACAGCACCACTGAGGGGTTTGGTTACCATGTAACGTGCGCCTATGCATGTGTGCATTTGTGCGTGTTTGCATGAGTGCATGAGTGCATGTGTGCTTGCTTGCATGCATTAACATGGATGAGTTCGGCATGGGCAGCACCACTGAGGGTCCGGGTTACCAAGCAACGTGTGTCTGTGTGTGCTTGCGTGCATGTGTGCATATGTGCATGTGTGCATGTGTGTATGTGTGCATATGTGTATGTGTGCATGTATGCATGTGTGTATGTGTGCATGTGTGCATGTGTGCATATGTGTATGCGTGCATGTGTGCATGTGTGCGTGCATGTGTGTATGTGTGCATGTGTGTATGTGTGCATATGTGCATGCGTGCATGCGTGTATGCGTGTGTGCGTGTGTGCGTGCATGCATGCGTGCGTGCGTGCGTGCGTGCGTGCGTGCACGCGTGCATGTGTGCATGTGTTCATTCGTCCTGTCATTGCAGAGGTTTTTGTCTCATCACAACAGTGATCCTCCAGTTATCACTCAGCAGTTCCTGACACCTCCCTACCTTCCGCACCCTTCCTAATCAACCTTCACCTCTCCACCCGCATCTACCCTTTCTCCTTTCTCTCCCCTTCTCTCCCTCCCCACCCCACCAGGTGACAGCCAACCCCTGGGACCACTCGCGAGTGCCAGGCAGCAGTTCAGGCGGCTCAGCTGCTGCTGTGTTCGAAGTCACCCTCCTTAAGGCACCCCTTCCTCCGCATTCCTCCCACCCTCCCCCACCCCACCAGGTGACAGCCAACCCCTGGGACCACTCGAGAGTGCCAGGCGGCAGCTCAGGAGGCTCAGCTGCTGCGGTGGCGGCTGGGCAGTGTGCTGTGGCTCTGGGCTCCGACACCGGTGAGTGGGGAGAGAGGGGGTGGTGGTGGTGGTGGGTGAGGGGGGCACCTGAGGAAGCTGGCTCTGGGTGTTGTATCTAGTGTCTCTGCGGTGGCGGCTGGGCAGTGTGCTGTGGCTCTGGCTGTTGTATCTAGTGTCTCTGCAGTGGCGGCTGGGCAGTGTGCTGTGGCTCTGGCTGTTGTATCTAGTGTCTCTGCGGTGGCGGCTGGGCAGTGTGCTGTGGCTCTGGGCTCCGACACCGGTGAGTGAAGGGTAGAGTGAAGGAGAGGAAGTGGTGGGGGAGAGGGGGTGTTGTAGCAAGGTTAATGGAGCAAGAGCCAGTGGAGGGTTTAGATCGTTACTCTTAGCAGGCTTGCTGCGTTTCGAATCCAACGAATTTCAACAGCAAGGTTTATGGAGCAAGAGCCAGTGGAGGGGAGTTGCTTGCGCTGTCATGTTTTTTTTGTTTCCATGGGCTCACTCCCCTGCTGCACCCGCTCTTATTCTGAGGCGCCTCGAAACTTTTGACTTTTGAGGCGCCTCAAAAGCAAGGGCCTGTGGAAGGGAAGGGAGTTGCGCTGTCATGCTTGTTTCCATCGATTCTCCCGCGGCGACGTGTAGAGAGGGTATTTTTGAGACGTCTCAAAAATACCCTCTCTGCAAGGGCCAGTGGAAGGGAAGGGGGTTACGCTGTCATGCTTGTTTCCATCAATTCTCCAGCGTCGCCCATTTCCATACCCCCATCCACCCACATCCCCACATTTCCCTATTCCCGTACCCCGAGGGGGCGCCTATGATTCCAGCCTGGACTGCGTGGGCATGCTGGGGCTCATGGGGTGTATACCAGTGCCACCACACCACACACTTTCCTACCCATGCCCACCCCTTCCCTTCCACCCCATCCCACCCCACCCCACCCGACTCCATCCCCTCTCTCATTCTTACTCTCTCCCAGGGGGCAGTGTGCGCCAGCCAGCGTCCTTCTGTGGCATAGTGGGTCTGAAGCCGTCGTACGGCCGGGTGTCATGGCGTATGCGTCCAGCCTGGACTGTGTGGGCGTGCTTGGTTCCATGTCCTATGCGTGCCTTTCCACCAGCCCTCGGCAACCCTGCATCTCCCTATATCCCCTTATGTCCCCGTATATTCCCCATTCCCGTCTCTCCAGGGGGCAGCGTGCGTCTCCCAGCGTCCTTCTGCGGGATAGTGGGTCTGAAGCCGTCGTACGGCCGAGTGTCCCGCCTGGGGCTCATGGCGTATGCGTCCAGCCTGGACTGCGTGGGCGTGCTGGGTCGATCGGTGGAAGACACTGCGATTGTGCTGCAGGCGATGGCTGGGAGGGATGACGGGGACAGCACGTGCAGCAAGGAGGTGAGTGAGTGGTGGGTAGAGGGTTCTAGGCAACACAGTCCACACAGTCCAGGCAAGAGGGCTTCAGAACACATCAAGTGCTGCAAGGAGGTGAGTGAGTGGTGGTTAGAGGGTTGTTCCATCAAGTGCTCTGAAGCCCTCTTGCCTGGACTGTGCGGGCGTGCTGGGGCGATCGGTGGAAGACATTGCGATCGTGCTGCAGGCCATGGCAGGGAGAGACGACGGGGACAGCACGTGTAGCAAGGAGGTGAGAGGCTGCAAGGAGGCGAGAGGCTGCAAGGAGGTGAGAGGCTGCAAGGCGGTGAGAGGCTGCAAGGCGGTGAAGCTGCAGGGCATGCTAGCTTTGAATGCTCAACCTGGAATATGTGGCATGCAGGATATCAGCAGGCTTGTACGTGTCCCCCCTCACCATCACCAGACTCCGCCCGTCTGTGCCAGACTCCGCCCGTCTGTGCCAGACTCCGCCCGTCTGTGCCAGACTCCGCCATCCTCCCCTCTCTCGCCTCCATCTCCCTAACCCCTTTGAAGCCAAGCCTAACTTATACTCACTGCTACCTCAGTCCCCTCCCTTTCCCCCATTTCTTCCCTCCTTCCCCTTTTATCCCCCAGCACCTCACCCCTGCCAGCCTGTACCGGACTACGCGGCCGCCCTCCTCCCCCCCGCCCCCTCCATCTCTGTGGAAAGGTTTTCATTGAACCTTCCTCCTTTCTCTCTCCCCACGTCACCCCTGCCAGCCAGTTCCAGACTACACGGTCGCCCTGCTCTCCATCCCTCCATCTCTGTGAAAGGACTTCGATTATACCATCCCCTTATTCTCTCCCCACGTCACCCCTGCCAGCCAGTTCCAGACTACACGGCCGCCCTCCTCCCCGTCGCCTCGCTTGCCTCCAAGCCGCTGACAGGTGTCCGCCTCGCATTGGTCCAGGAGACCATGGGCGCTGGCGTTGATTCTGACGTGGCACAGGCCGTCCGGGCGGCGGCGGCGCACTACGAGACGCTCGGAGCCACCGTGGAGGAGGTGTCACTGCCGTTCTTTGCCAGTGGCCTGCCAGCATACTACATCCTGGCTCCCTCTGAAGCTTCCTCCAACCTCTCCCGCTACGATGGTATCAGGTGCGCCTCCATCCCTCCATCCCCCCTCCCTTCTCCCTCTCGAGAGGGTGTCACTGCCATTCTTTGCCGGTGGCCTGCCAGCATACTACATCCTGGCCCCTTCAGAAGCCTCCTCCAACCTCTCCCGATATGATGGCATCAGGTGCGCCCTCCGTCCCTCCATTTCTCCATCCTTCCATCCGTCCTCCATTCTCCCTCACTGGAGGTATCACTGCCGTTCTTAGCAAGTGGCCTCCCGGCATATTACATCCTCGCCCCGCCCCCTCAGAAGCCTCCTCCAACCTCTCCCACTATGATGGCACCAGGTATGGCCTTCTCTCCCATTACCGCTGCCGTTCTTAGCAAGTGGCCTCCCGGCATATTACATCCTCGCCCCGCCCCCTCAGAAGCCTCCTCCAACCTCTCCCACTATGATGGCACCAGGTATGGCCTTCTCTCCCATTACCGCTGCCGTTCTTAGCAAGTGGCCTCCCGGCATATTACATCCTCGCCCCGCCCCCTTTGAAGCCTCCTCCAACCTCTCCCGCTATGTTGGCATTCGGTATGCGCTCCTCCCCCTTTCTCCTTTCTTGCCAACCCGTTCTCCGTCACGTATAAAGTTTCGACCTGGATCCGCAGGTGACTCGTCCTACTCCAACAGGTTACTTACTTCCTCCCCCTTTCTCCTTTCTTGCCAACCCCATCTCCGTCACGCCCTGCCTCTCTTCCCTTCCTTGCTATCTCCTCGTTCCCTTCTCCTTTTTCCCCCTCCATTTCCTTCCCTTCCTCGCTCTTTCTTCGTCACTGTGGTGGGGTGGGGTGTGGTGGGGTGTGGTGTGGAAGGCATCCACTTGGATGTAAACAAAACGACTGTGGTGCGGTTGACCCTCACTCCGCTCTGCCCCTCATGCAGGTTTGGCCCGCAACGGGAGGGAACGGACCTCACATCCCTCTACAGCAACACTCGAGGCCAGGGCTTTGGCAAGGAGGTGAGCGGATGGAGAGGAAGGGGTTTTGGAAGAATGGGGTTTTGAGAGGTCTCAAATCGTGACTTGCAGGTCGGGCGGGCACCCAACAGCAGCAGCAGGGCACGGACCTCATATCCCTGTACAGGCCAGGGCATGGCATTGGCAAGGAGGGGAAAAGAAGGGAGCCTGCAAGGTTCGCAAAATGATGGTGTGAGATAATCTTTAACAAGGGATGCAAAAAGGTGTTTTCACATTATTTGCATGCTCATAATTACGTGCCTTTCGTTTCCGCCCATGTTACCGTGCTGCTCTCTGTTGCTCCTCCCTGTGTTGATGGGGCAGGTGAAGCGGCGCATTCTAATGGGCACATACGCGCTCTCTGCAGGCTACTACGATGCCTACTACAAGAAGGCACAGCAGGTCAGACGCATGCTCAGGTGTATGGTCAAGTGTGTATTCAAGTGCGCTCGTCAAGTCGAAAAATGAATCTTGCCCTCTCTGCAGGTCAGATGGTTCAGGTGCATCATCATGTGCATCATCATGTGCATCATCATGTGCATCATCATGTGCATCATCATGTGCATCATCATGTGCATCATCATGTGCATCATCATGTGCATCATCATGTGCATCATCATGTGCATCATCATGTGCATCATCATGTGCATCATCATGTGCATCATCATGTGCATCATCATGTGCATCATCATGTGCATCATCATGTGCATCATCATGTGCATCATCATGTGCATCATCATGTGCATCATCATGTGCATCATCATGTGCATCATCATGTGCATCATCATGTGCATCATCATGTGCATCATCATGTGCATCATCATGTGCATCATCATGTGCATCATCATGTGCATCATCATGTGCATCATCATGTGCATCATCATGTGCATCATCATGTGCATCATCATGTGCATCATCATGTGCATCATCATGTGCATCATCATGTGCATCATCATGTGCATCATCATGTGGCATCATCATGTGCATCATCATGTGCATCATCATGTGCATCATCATGTGCATCATCATGTGCATCATCATGTGCATCATCATGTGCATCATCATGTGCATCATCATGTGCATCATCATGTGCATCATCATGTGCATCATCATGTGCATCATCATGTGCATCATCATGTGCATCATCATGTGCATCATCATGTGCATCATCATGTGCATCATCATGTGCATCATCATGTGCATCATCATGTGCATCATCATGTGCATCATCATGTTGCATCATCATGTGCATCATCATGTGCATCATCATGTGCATCATCATGTGCATCATCATGTGCATCATCAATGTGCATCATCATGTGCATCATGTGCATCATCATGTGCATCATCATGTGCATCATCATGTGCATCATCATGTGCATCATCATGTGCATCATCATGTGCATCATCATGTGCATCATCATGTGCATCATCATGTGCATCATCATGTGCATCATCATGTGCATCATCATGTGCATCATCATGTGCATCATCATGTGCATCATCATGTGCATCATCATGTGCATCATCATGTGCATCATCATGTGCATCATCATGTGCATCATCCTACCATCCCCCTGTAACCCTCTACCCCTCCCATGGCAGGTGCGCACGATGATTCGGCGAGATTTCCTGGCAGCCTTAGAGGGGCATGACACCGCCCTTCCTCACCTCACCTGCCCCCTTCCCATCGACCAACGCCCCTCAACCACCTCCCCCTGCCACCACCCACTTTCCCCTTCTCCCCATCACAGGTGCGCACGATGATTCGGCGGGAGTTTTTTGGCAGCTGGGGAGGGGCATAAGGCCCTCCTCCTTCCTCACCTTCCCCCTTCCCGTCTGCTTCCACCCATCACCTCCCCCTGTCGTCACCTCCCCCTTTCCACAGGTGCGCACGATGATTCGACGGGAATTCCTAGCAGCCCTGGAGGGGCACGATGCTCTCATCACCCCCACTCCCGTCCCATCTGCCTTCCCCGTGTCACCACCTCCCCCTGTCACCACCTACCCCTCCCATGGCAGGTGCGCACGATGATTCGGCGGGAGTTCCTAGCAGCTCTGGAGGGGCACGACGCTCTTATCACCCCCACCGCTCCCACCACGGCCTACCGCATTGGTAACCGCAGTAGGGGTTTGCTGGCAACCGCATTGGTAACCGCACTAGGTGTTGCTCTGGCAAGGGCTACGGTAACAGCTAGTTTTGTAAGCATAGCAATGGCATTGAGAAGGAGTACATAGCAGCTCTAGAGGGGGGTACGATGCTTCCCCACCGCGCCCACCATGGCCTACCGCATAGGTAACCAAGAGCAAGTTTTGTTAGCTTAGCATTGAAATCACTTTTGAGAATTCTCAAAAATAGCATTGCCATTGCGGTGCCAATTTGAGAACTCAGACAATATGAGCATCGTGCCTTTTCCTTTCACACGCTCCCTTTCTCACGCGTTTTCCCCCGGTTGCCGAATCTCCCTTCTTCATCTCTCCGTCCCTCCATCTCCCGCCCGCCCATGTGTGCAGGTGAGAAGACATCGGACCCCCTCGCCATGTATGTTGGTGACCTCATGACGGTGAGCACTCTATCAATTCATTAGGAATTCTGGTAGAATTCCGAAAAAGGGCCTCTTCAAGGCATCTCTAACCCTTCACATGTGACTTCATGTCTCTGCGTCCCACTATTCAATCTCCCTCCCTCCCTCCCTCTCCTGATTGCCCACCTGCCACACATGTACGTCCGATTTACTTAACCTATCCCCACGTGCACCTCCCTGGACCCTTCGCCACCACTCTAAACCGCAGATTACGTGTCAACCTCATGCGACTGTTGGCCGTATCGCTTCCCTGTGACCAATCATTAACCTCCCAATTCCCTTTCCAGCAATTATCCCCTTTCCCTTTCCTAAAAAACGCCTCCTATAAAGCCCTCCGCCTCCTCAGAGCCTCTCTATGCTTGGAGCCCCATAGCCCATTTCTGTTCACCCCTCTCCACCACTCTATACACACCACAGGTCAATGTGAACCTGGCGGGTCTGCCAGCCATCTCCTTGCCTTGCGGTTTAGCCCCCGGTGGCCCCCATGGCCTGCCCATTGGCCTTCAGATCATTGGCGCTCCCTTTGCTGAGGTGAGCCGTGTGACTGTGTTGCTTACTCTGAGGCAAGATGGGTAGGGATCTTTATGTTTCAATGACATAGCTTTTGCAAAGCCTCACAAGCAGCCCCACGGCCTGCCCATTGGCCTTCAGATCATCGGCGCTCCCTTTGCTGAGGTGAGCCGTGTGACTGTGTTGCTTACTCTGAGGCAAGATGGGTGGGGATCTTTATGTTTCAATGACATTGCTTTTGCAAGCCTTCAGATCATTGGCGCCCCCTTTGCTGACGTGAGCCGTGTGCTTGCGCTGCTTAAACTGAGGCAAGATGCATGGGGACTTCTACGGTTGTGTGTAATTCCGTTTGACAGATGTCATGGGAGCAGCCGGATGGTCTGCCCATCGGCCTCCAGATCATCGGTTCGTCCCTTCCCTCCCACCCCCCTCCCTCCCCTCCCTCCACCCTCTCCCCGCCCAGGCGGCCATTCTCAAGTATGCGCACGTGTTTGAGCAGACCAGTTGTCTTCCAAGGTGCCCCACCACCCACCGCCCACCGACGCCCCCTCTCCTCCCTCTCCTCCCTCCTTCCACAGGCGGCCATTCTCAAGTATGCGCACGTGTTTGAGCAGACCAGTTGTCTTCCAAGGTGCCCCACCACCCACCGCCCACCGACGCCCCCTCTCCTCCCTCTCCTCCCTCCTTCCACAGGCAGCCATTCTCAAGTATGCGCACGTGTTTGAGCAGACCAGTTGTCTTCCAAGGTGCCCCACCACCCACCGCCCACCGACGCCCCCTCTCCTCCCTCTCCTCCCTCCTTCCACAGGCGGCCATTCTCAAGTATGCGCACGTGTTTGAGCAGACCAGTTGTCTTCCAAGGTGCCCCACCACCCACCGCCCACCGACGCCCCCTCTCCTCCCTCTCCTCCCTCCTTCCACAGGCGGCCATTCTCAAATATGCGCACGTGTTTGAGCAGACCAGTTGTCTTCCAAGGTGCCCCACCACCCACCGCCCACCGACGCCCCCTCTCCTCCCTCTCCTCCCTCCTTCCACAGGCGGCCATTCTCAAGTATGCGCACGTGTTTGAGCAGACAACTCCTGCATGGCAATCTGGACTCGCTATTGCAACTCCTGTTACTGCCGCTGCTTCCACATAGAGGCTCTGATGGTACCACAACCCTCAGTCACATAGCGTTGAGATTCATGCTGTTGCAAGCGTGTTGCTGCAGCTCCCAAAACGATGCAAAGGGCAACGCAAACAAGACATTTCTGTTGCTGCCTTTGCAAGTACTTGTAACAATACAGCTACAACTTAGAGCTTTACAAATGAGATGTAACATTAGAATTTGAACAGTTCTGAGCATCTGTCATATCCCAACTCCTCATACTGCTTCTTAGTGACTGCTTTACGTGCAAATTCTCCTGACTTGACCAGTTCAGACCCTCCCTTCCATGCACTCACCACCGGGCTGCAGAATACACCACACAAACCAAACACACAAAGACCACACACCAAACACAGACACAGATGTCAATTGATACACGGTCGCAATGACAACACTCACTCCGAGCAGGAACTTTTGTAGCCATGTTGGGTCAGTCAGTCACACCACAGAGAGCCGATTCAAGCACTCATGAACCCATGCATACCCGCATGCATGGAGTGATGAAGGGAGATCAGGGGATCATGCACCTTGCGAGGTGACTTTTGAGTCGCCTCAAAAGTCACCTCGACTCAAAAGTCGCATGCATGTAGTGATGAAGGGAGATCAGGGGATCATGCACCTTGCATGCGAATCTGCAGGGAACGGGTATGCAACATACCCCCGAGTTGATGGAACGGGACTATCCAGGGTAATGGTGTCGGGAAGAACTATTGAGGTGATGCATCTTGAGGGTTCTCGGAAGTGACTCACTAGAGTTTACTATACACACACCTTTGGGAGAGAGAGATGTTAATGGGTAGTGAGTCGGGCACAAGGGGTCGCAACTCCAATGCCCTGCCAGAACCAACAAGGCACAGGGAGAAGGGGAAAGGGAAGAGGGGGGGGGAAAGGGCGGAAGGGCAGGGGCAGACAGGGCCGCCTAAAAAACCGACTCATGAGATGTTAATGGGTAGTGAGTCGGGCACAAAGGGTCTCAGCTCCAATGCCTTGCCAGAACCAACAAGGCACAGGGAGAAGGGAAGAGTGGGGAAGGGGGGAAGGGTACGTAGGTTGGGATACTCAAGACAGTTTATGTGATACCAAATGTGATTATCTGACATACATCAGCATGATGCAGTGGGACACGTTGACAGCAGCAGCGCCAAAACATGGCGTGATCACGCCCAAAGTGGTGAAAATACCTTTTTTGGCAAAGCGAATAACGCCCATATTATGGACTTGAAACTGAGTAATACTTGCAGTAATAAATCTCGCTGAGATAGGTTAGCAAAACTTACAGCCGCTCTTTGAAGAATGGGAACTGACAGCTGCCGCCCACCAGTACAATGCTGCCACGTGGGGTGCATGTGGGAGGTGGGTGGGAGAGGTGACTTGGAGAGGTGATGCGGCAGAAGAGAGAGGAGAGGAGAGGAGAGACGAGAGGCAAAAGACGGGAGAAGAGAGCAAAGAGGAGACCAGAGAGAAAAGTATAGAGATGAAAGGAGGAGAAAGTAGGAGTGACGAGAGCAGAAGAAAGAGGAGAGAGTAGAGAGAGGCGAGAGGAGAGAGGAGAGGGGGAAGGGCGTACTTTGAGTAGAGCAGAGGGTGGATGACTCGAGGAGCAGCAGTCACAGCCGCCACTATTGACTCTGCGAGGCCTGCCTGGCTGACACCTGGCAGCAAGAGGGGGGCAGACGGGGTGGAGGGAAGCAGGGGGTGGATGACTCGAGGAGCAGCGCTCACAGCCGCCACCATGGTGTCTGCCAGCCCTGCCTGGCCCATTCCTGGTGACGCAAGCCGGAGGGCAGACGGAAGGTGGCAGGGCAGAGAGAGTGAACGAGAGGGTGAGAGGGCCGTAGATGACTCGACTCACAGCCGCCATTATTGTCTCTGCCTGCCCTGCCTGTCCCACTCCTAGTGGCGTCAGATGGATATGGACCATTCAGAGGAGGAAGGGAGATGGGGTGGAGGGGAGGTGATGAGGGGTGACAGCGCTCACAGCCACCATTATTGTCTCTGCCTGCCCTGCCTGCCCTGCCTGTCCCACTCCTGGCAACGAGAGATGGATATGAAGCATTCGGGGCAGCGTGGAGGGTGGGCGCGTGGGTGAGGTGACGGGGAGAGGGGGAGAGGCAGCCAGCGGCAACAAACAGCCAGAAGGAGGCGAAAGCGAAACCAGCAGCAGCAGCAGCAGCAGGAGCGGGAGCAGGAGGGGGAATAAGCAGCAAGCAGCAAGCAGCATCATACCCAGGTCGGAGGGATGGAAGAGGCCCTCTGGCACCATAAAGCGTTCCGATGCCAGTGATAGCTCCTGGTGATGGGCAAGCAGGAAGAAAGCAGGAAAACCAGCAGGGGGAAGGGAGTTGAGGCGCGTCAAAGGAAGTGGAAGAGCCCCCTGTCCGGCAGTGAAAAGTCAGCGACGGGGAAAGAACATAAAGCAAATGCTTGTCTCTCCTCACCATCCGTTTTGAGTGGAAAATAGGACGTTTGTCTTTCGGGGAATAGAACTTCATTCGTTCTCCTCCGGGAAATACAACCCACCCCTCCCCGCCAGCAGACTACTCACCGGCTGCTCGCTGCTGCTTCCTCCAGTTCTGCTGCCCGGACCACCACCACCAGCAGCACCTCTGATGTTGGCTGGTGGCGGCATCACAACACACGCCCCTCCACCAGCACCACCACTGTTACCACCACCACTACCGGCAGCACCAGCACCACCACTGTTACCACCACCACTACCGGCAGCAGTAGCACCACCTTTGGCCTTGCCTCGCCCTTTTTTCTCATCCCAGTCCTCATCGTCCTCCTCGTCTTCCTCATCATCATCATCCCCACCAGCAACCCCACCACCCCCACCCCTGCCACCTTGCTGCTGCCTCCGTCCTCCCTCCTCATCCCCCCGCTCCCCTTCCCACCCGCTTCTCTCTCTCTTCCTCCCCATCTCCCTGTCTTCCTCCCCGCTACCCACCCCATCGCTCCCTCGCCTCGTCCTACCCTCTAGCAAAGCCCCACCTCGTTTCCTCCCTCTCGTTCCCCTTGCCTCCTCAACCTCCTCCACCTCCTCAGCCATATGTTGCTCCCACAGGTCCTCCTGGGCCTTCACTGCCTGCATCGCTGCTGTGCGGTCTTTCACCTGCCCGCGCAGAAGAGTGACCCCGTCGGGCAGCAAGTACTCTGCCCGGAATATGTTGCTGACATCCCGTTTCCTGAAGTAGGTGCACGTGCACAGAGCGCAGGAGGAGGAGGAAGGGGAGGAGGAGAGAGGGGAGGAGGGACATCACCTGGGGATCCGCCTGGACAAGGGGAGGTGGCAAATGGAGAAGAGCAAGAGAAGACGACACAGACGCTTCTACGTATGGTCCATGATCAGTGCTTCGAGACTCGGGGGTAGCCTTCTGAAACGCCCCAAAGGACGAATTTTGAACATCTCAAAACAATTTGGCTCGTGATCAGGACAAGCGCAGGACAAGACACAGCTGCTTCTTGACATGGTCCATGAACAGCGCTTTGAAGCTTGCCTTTGATCAGTATTTCGAGGCTCGCCCTCTGAAACGTCTCATAGGAACACACCTGGGGCCAACCGCCCTGCCCACCTGAGAAATCACCTGGCCAAGGGGAGGTGGCGCGTGGGGAAAAGCGAGACGAAGCACAGTTGCTCCTTGGCATGGTCCATGATGAGTGTCTCGTCCATCATGTTCCATGCTGAGGCTCAGCAGCAGGTGAGCATCTCAAAGGCTTGCCTTCTGAGACATCTCGAAGGTACTACTCACCTGGCTAACGGGAGGTGGCGCGTGGGGAAGAGCGAGACGAAGCACAGTTGCTCCTTGGCATGGTCCATGATGAGTGTCTCGTCCATCATGTTCCATGCGCGGTACGACACCGCCTCCTTCAACACATTCGTCAGTGCCTTGCCGCCCACGTTCATGCGCCTGAATGGGGGGGGGGGGGTGGGTGGGGGGAAGCAGGGGCAAAGAGAGTCCGAATCAGCTCAGAAATCACCAAGTGCCCCCTCACCTCCCCTCCCCTCCCCTCCCCTCCCCTCCCCTCCCCTCCCCTCCCTCCCGCCTTGGCATGGTCCATGATGAGTGTCTCGTCCATCATGTTCCATGCACGGTACGACACCGCCTCCTTTAACACATTCGTTAACGCCTTGCCGCCCACGTTCATGCGCCTGGGGTTGGGCAACAGAAGGGAGGGGGAGAAACGAAAGTACGACATGAGTTCTTGTGCAACTAAATAGCAAAACTGTTGCTTTCACCAGGCAGCCTGTTGTAACAATTTTTTTTTTACCTGGCAACCTGCAGCAATGGTCTGCTGTTATCGCTTGACAGCCTGCAGCAGTGGTCTGTTCTTTTCACCTGACAGCCTGCAGCAGTGGTCTGTTGTGTTCACCTGACAGCCTGCAGCAGCGGTCTGTTGTGTTCACCTGACAGCCTGCAGCAGCGGTCTGTTGTGTTCACCTGACAGCCTGCAGCAGCGGTCTGTTGTGTTCACCTGACAGCCTGCAGCAGCAGTCTGTTGTGTTCACCTGACAGCCTGCAGCAGCGGTCTGTTGTGTTCACCTGACAGCCTGCAGCAGCGGTCTGTTGAGTTCACCTGACAGCCTGCAGCAGCGGTCTGTTGTGTTCACCTGACAGCCTGCAGCAGCGGTCTGTTGTGTTCACCTGACAGCCTGCAGCAGCGGTCTGTTGTTCCAAATTGGCACGGCATGCGTGAAGGAGAAGCCAGCATCCACCACCACGCCACAGCCCGCCTCCAGCGCCATTGCTGAGCTGGCAGCAACGGCTGATGACGTGGCAAGTAATGATGGCATTGGTGGTGCTGGTGGTGAGTCACGGAGCACCGATGACTGCCCTGATGCAGCAGGACAGAGTGGAAAGACAGAGCACGGGAAAGTCATGTTTGGGTGGATGGCATGAGATGAGAATGAGACGGTGAGAAAGGGGGAGGAATGGAATGGAAACACAAGAGTGGCGAATGAACTTAAAGAGAAGAGAGAATGCTGCAACGCACACACCCTCATGCAAGTACGCAAGCACAGTGGGATGGAGAGAAACAAGAGCAAGAGGAACACACACACACGCACCTCATGGCGGCACGCGAGCACAAGGGAGGGGACGTTTGAATTTTGAGTCGACTCAAAAGTCACACCCTCATGCCAGTACGCAAGCACAGTGGGATGGAGAAGATGAAGAGCAAGAGGAACGCCACACACACACCTCATGGCGGTATGCAAGCATGGGGGAGGGAACGGGGAGGTAGGAGCGGAAGGCAAAGTGCTCGAAGGCGAGTTCCGCCATGCTGCGCTGGATGCCCGGCAGGCTGAAGAGCGGCTCTGATACCAATAGGGACGTGCTGGACGGTTGTACCTGGGGGAGGTGCGGAGGAGGGATGGGAGGTGAAACGAGGAGTGAAGTGAGAAGAAATTGGGGATGAAGAGAGGAACTATGGGACGTGTGGCGACGAGGGATGGGAGGTGAAAAACGGAATCAGGAAGAATGTAGGCGTTGCCTTGACGAGGCAAACATGTGGTTTTTTTTTCATGTAGTACCTTGAGAATACCGGAGAAGGCTCGGTCCCAGATGGTTCGCTGTAGGTCCCAGTTGACCACGTAGCCCCGGTCAACGGGCCTCAGCACGCCCAAACCCTAGAAAGAAAATGGTTGGCAAAAACGGTAAAACCGCACCATGAAAGTAACCTTGAATGATTCAAAATAAATCAAAACGCGGCAGGGTTGGCGAAAGCGTTGATATTGACTGATCTCGGTGATACGACCTACTACCTTGATGTCTGGACACGTGTCGACTAGGTCAGCAACAAAAGGCCGTTTCAGGCTCTTGGCTTTAGCCACGAAGTTAGGTATGACCTTCACCGGTTCCGCCTCCCCTCCGAAGCCTATCTTGCACGTGGCTCCTCCATTGTCCAAGACAACCACTCGGCCCTTTTCCATTGCTACACGAGCGGGAGTCGCGGAAACATCTATGGGCTAGCAGCGAAGCCCCTGCGTCCTGAATCCAAATGGCGCTGCTGATGGTTTTCGAAATGGCGAGCTGTACCGTTGCTGAGGCTGCTTTGATTGAAGAGGCGATTATTGATTACCTATGTCTCAGATAATATTTATCGACGGGGTAAATGCTATAACGACGACCTCTCAATCGCGTAAAAGAATGCCCAAGTTCCTCGTGAAGCCGTGTTCTCAGCACATGGCATCAGGCCGACGTGGACGTTGACACCTGCATCCACAGGAAAGCCACCAACCGAACCTCCGCCAGATTCAGGCCCCCTAGATGTGGCAGGCAGCTCTACTCCAATCGCGAAGCGAACGCAACCCAAAACATTCTCACCGATTGGTCACAAGCAATTTTGTGCTTCGCGTGACGCTGACGCAGCATTGTTTCAGAACACCGAGAGAATTACTGTAGAGCCATGTTCGGTGTTTCCTTCTTACTCGCGTGGTCTCGAATGACTCGAGTGGCCACCAAAATTGGTGATAATTACTCGAGTGGCCACAACAGGGGATTCCTGCACGCTTTTGTTTTCCCGGCGCATTACCCTACAGGGGTTTGTAGCCCCGAAAGTTTTGGAATGATTATTGCGCGATTTTCATTATCCGAAATGTATGTTCGTGACATTATATGACCGCGCCTGATTGGACGCGCATTGCCAAAAAAGACACCACGCATATAATTGACCAGTCATGCGCGGTCATTAGATCCCGCGCATTGACGCCCGGGCATTGCAGTTTATGATCGAGGAAATATATGATCGGGCATTAATATTTGATGCTCGCGACCATTAATGGCCGCGCATGATTGGTCGATTATATGCGCGTCCAGTCAGGCGCGGTCATATAGGGTCACGAACATAAAATCTGGATATAAATGATCGCGCAATAACCAAGACAAACATTCGGGGCTACAAACCCCCGTAGGGTAATGCGCCGGGTAAAAAAATCGTGCGGGAATTCCCTGGCGTGGCCACTCAAGTAATTATCACCAATTTTGGTTTGCCACTCGAGTAATTCGAGACCACGCGAGTAAGAAGGAATCACCAAACATGGTTCTACAGTAATTCTCTCCAGAACACCCTTGAAGTTGACCGACCGACATCGTGATCTGCGCAAAGGGATGCCATTTTCGGGATGGCTGCTCGGTACTGCTATTTTCTGATCGTGTTTTCTCGGTTGTGTATCCTATTTGGCATGATGTACCTCGAATCGGCTGGAGAGGAGTCTTGTTCATCAGCTATCTCCACAGGATTCATATCTCAGAAGACATTCCTGAACCTGGAATTGGCCTTCATCCCATTCCTCACTTCTCACTCCATTTGCGAGTTCAATTTCAAGCTTTCGAACTAGCTTCATACAGCAGATAGCCCTTGACCTCAGTCCTCCATTGGGCGATTTCCGGACTGAGGAGAACCCGCTAAAGCAAGATTTTGTATTTTTGTTGTTCTTGTTTGCCGCATTGATCGCGCATTGAACCCCTATTCGCGACGCACCTTTACACTCAGTCCGACGGACCTTTAGCCATGGTGTGCGATAGCTGCATCGCCACAATGTCTCACGTTCGGACGATGACCGCAGCTACCACAATTCTTAGAGTACAACCACATCCCACCATCGCCGCTCGGCCACTCTTCAGTGTCTCCCCACTGAAATCCCTTCGGCACCAAAGGAATGCCACAGTTCGGCCGAACCAATCACGAATCGCAGCGGTCCGAGCGGATTCGTCAGCACCCGTCGATACAACCAACAAATCGTCGCCATCACCAATTGCATCAGCGCCTCCCAGTAGCGTGGCTACCAGCGTGCCGGGGATCGGAGGCGTGGCAGTAATGACGGACGCGACGGTTCCCGAGGGACACAAAGGGCTGCATGATTTCCTCTACGGCGAGGGAGGTACGTCTGAACCGATGCCATGTGAGGCTTCTCTATCGCCAGAGGCCGCATAACGGTTGGCAGTGAAACAGGAGTTGGCCAGGTGGCAGTTATGACGGACGGGACGGTACCGGAGGGACACACGGGGCTTCAAGATAGGTGAAAGCTCAAGCGGCAATAAAAGAAACCACGTTACTGTCTCTCGAGTCGACTCAATAGGCAACTCCAGGTTCAGGTCTGCAGGGATAGCTCCAGTTGGTGTGGTAGGTAGGCGCACCCATACTCCCCAGTACGGCACGTGTAGCCCTTAGGGAAGGGAGAACCCTAGGAGCCATTTCAGAGTCCACTTTCAACAACATCACCCCCAACTACCAACCCCCACTCCTCACCCTCCCCTTACACCTTCCCCCCGCCCATGCCCAACGTGTCTCCCCCTCCGAATTCCCATGCACCCCGTCAGACGTACACGAGGCCACGTCATCATCCGCATGCACCGTGCGGCCAGGCGAGTACGACGGCACGCTGCTGTACCCTCATCCTTCCTAAAACATTTCCGCATCACCGTGTCCTCTCCCTCAGACGTACACGAAGCCACGACATCCGCATACACGGTGCGGCCAGGCGAGGACGACGGCACGCTGCTGTCGCCGGTGCCGGACTACGTGGCGGCCCGCGAGCTGCAGAAGCTCGCCGGGATCTACGCCGTGTATGACGGCGCTGGCGCGCTGCAGTACGTGGGTTACTCGCGGAACATCGTCGTGTCGCTCAAAGTGAGTCCCCTTGAGGCTCATGGCACCCAAGGGGAGGGGGCGAGAGGCTGTGCAGATACGAGCTAGCCCGGCACCGTGGGGCGTGCTGTGGGGGTTGTTGAGGCGCCGAGGGAGTTGCCGAGAGGCTGAGGGGCCCCGGCGCGCGGAGTGAGGTGCTAATACGCCGAGAGGCTGTGCAGGTGTAAGCCCGAATTTCAAGTGCGTTAGGTTTCTCGCTTCTCTCTCAACTCTTTCCTCGTCCTACACCCCCCTCTTTTCCCTCGCAGGGCCACAGGGCGGCTATGGGCGAGGAGCTGTGCAGCTCAGTGCGAGTGCAGGTGTACCGGGCAGATTCAATGCTTTCCCGGGCAGTGCTGGACGGGGAGCGGAGGCGGTGGTTGCAGGAGCTCGGGCAGGGCGAAAGTTTCATGCAGACTAGCAGGTACGCACAGGACGGACGGGCCCTTCTGAGTGCTTCTCCCCGTTGGCTTCCTACTCTCACCCATTCCCAGTACCTTTCTCTTCTCTTGAGACGTCTCAAAAGTCGTGTACCCTTCTCTTCTCCCCACCATTGTAAGCTGCTATCTCCGTGACTTGCTCCCACCCATCCATCTACCCCTTTCCACCAGCTTCTCCTCCGCCTGATATCCCTCTCCCCCTCTTCCACACTTCCCCCCCTCCCATCTCTTCCCCTTCAGTTTCGCCATCTACTCTCAAAACATACTCCCCCCGTTTCCTCTCCTCCCCCTTCAGTTTCGCCCGGTGGGAGGCGCAGGGCGCGCAGGTGGGCGCGGCAGCAGCGGCGGCGGCGGAAGGGGGGGAGCTGAGCGATGGGGAGCGGGCGGAGCAGGAGGAGCGGCGGCTGAGAATGCGCAAGGCGATGGGGGAGAACCTGATGGACGATGAGGAGTACAGGCGGAGGGTGGAGGGCGGAGAGACGGACGGGGAGAGCGACAGGCGCCGGCTACAGCTGCTGCAGGTGAGGGGGGTTGGTGGGATGGAGGAATGGGGGGATGGGCGGATGGAGTGGTGGGAAGGAGGGACGCAGTGAAGGGTCGTGGTATGGATGGATGTGGGGATTTGGAAAGGGGAGTCGGATGGAGAGGGTGATACGCGGAGACTGCAGCTGCTGCAGTTGATGAGGGAGATCAAGGGAGAAGGTGGATTGAGTGACGGGGTGGTGGGTGTTTGGTTAGAGAGGTTTTGAAGATTAAAAGTAGAGGCTAGGGACATGCGGGCGGGCGGCCTGGCAGTTCAGGGCAGTGCATGGCATGGAATGGCGTGGCATGGCATCATTTGTCCCGTCTGTGTCTGTTTTGACCGGTTTGCTGCTTGCAGGCCACAGAGGGCGACGACTGGAGCTCTGTGATTGACGGGCAGACGCAAGAAACCGTTTCTGCTAGAGGAGGCTCTAATGGGAAGCCTTCCAGAGCAGCGAAAGGAGAGGCGAGAGGAGCCACAGCAACAGAAGCAGCAACAGCACAGCAAGGCAGCGGGGTAGCTGCACCCCCCGCTGCTCCCCCTTCTGCAGCACCCATTGTTAGCCCGTTTGCGCGCCCAGGTGCTGCAGGCACGGGGGCAGGTGGGGAAGCAGAGGAAGCGGAGGGGGAGATGGAGCTGAGTGTTGAGTCGGCTGACCGCGTGCTGGATCGCGTGCGGCCGTACCTGGTGGCTGATGGCGGGAATGTGGAGGTGAAGGCGGTGGAGAACGGCGTCGTCATTCTGGAGCTGCAAGGTAAGGGCTTACATGTACGGATGCACACATGCACGCATGCACAGATGCACAGGGGAAGCGGAGGGGGAGATGGAGCTGAGTGTTGAGTCGGCTGACCGCGTGCTGGATCGCGTGCGGCCGTACCTGGTGGCGGATGGCGGGAATGTGGAGGTGAAAGCAGTGGAGAATGGCGTTGTTATCCTAGAGCTGCAAGGTAGGGACTTACATGTCCTGCACAGTGCACATGCGCGTGCACACATGCACACATGCATGCGCACTCCGACCTATGCACTGCTGGAAGTGAGTTCTGAAACGTTAGAGTCGATGCACAGACGCGTGTATGCGTGCACACAAACATAAGCACGCTACACGCGTACACACTCTGCTGGAGGTCAAGGCAATGGTGAATGGCTTTGTAATCCTGCAGCTGCAAGGTGTGGGTTTGAGAGCACGTGTGCGCACGCGCGTGCGCACGCACACACATTCACATGAGTTTGCGCGCTCCCGCATACACACACACGCACATGCATGCAAACCCATATACACAAACCCCAGGTTTGCAGCATCGATGCACTGTCCCACTGTGAGCCAAATCTGATGGCAAATCAGAAGTCTCTGGGTTACATCCCCCCCCCTCACTTCCTCCAGTGCCTGCAACACGATCCCCAGCTCTGCAGTGACGAGGAAGGTCGGCATCCCGAGGGTCCTGCGAAGTATGTGTGGTTCTCGTCAACACAATGTCGAGTTTTGAGTCGCCTCAAAACTCCATCCAGAGGCCCTGCGGAGTATGTGTGGTTCTCGTCAACACAATGTCGAGTTTTGAGTCGCCTCAAAACTCCATCCCGAGGGTCCTGCGGAGTACATGTGGTTCTCGTCAACACAATGTCGAGTTTTGAGTCGCCTCAAAACTCCATCCCGAGGGTCCTGCGGAGTACATGTGGTTCTCGTCAACACAATGTCGAGTTTTGAGTCGCCTCAAAACTCCATCCAGAGGCCCTGCGGAGTACATGTGGTTCTCGTCAACACAATGTCGAGTTTTGAGTCGCCTCAAAACTCCATCCAGAGGCCCTGCGGAGTACATGTGGTTCTCGTCAACACAATGTCGAGTTTTGAGTCGCCTCAAAACTCCATCCCGAGGGTCCTGCGGAGTACATGTGGTTCTCGTCAACACAATGTCGAGTTTTGAGTCGCCTCAAAACTCCATCCAGAGGCCCTGCGGAGTACATGTGGTTCTCGTCAACACAATGTCGAGTTTTGAGTCGCCTCAAAACTCCATCCAGAGGCCCTGCGGAGTACATGTGGTTCTCGTCAACACAATGTCGAGTTTTGAGTCGCCTCAAAACTCCATCCAGAGGCCCTGCGGAGTATGTGTGGTTCTCGTCAACACAATGTCGAGTTTTGAGTCGCCTCAAAACTCCATCCCGAGGGTCCTGCGGAGTACATGTGGTTCTCGTCAACACAATGTCGAGTTTTGAGTCGCCTCAAAACTCCATCCCGAGGGTCCTGCGGAGTACATGTGGTTCTCGTCAACACAATGTCGAGTTTTGAGTCGCCTCAAAACTCCATCCAGAGGCCCTGCGGAGTACATGTGGTTCTCGTCAACACAATGTCGAGTTTTGAGTCGCCTCAAAACTCCATCCAGAGGCCCTGCGGAGTACATGTGGTTCTCGTCAACACAATGTCGAGTTTTGAGTCGCCTCAAAACTCCATCCCGAGGGTCCTGCGGAGTACATGTGGTTCTCGTCAACACAATGTCGAGTTTTGAGTCGCCTCAAAACTCCATCCAGAGGCCCTGCGGAGTACATGTGGTTCTCGTCAACACAATGTCGAGTTTTGAGTCGCCTCAAAACTCCATCCAGAGGCCCTGCGGAGTACATGTGGTTCTCGTCAACACAATGTCGAGTTTTGAGTCGCCTCAAAACTCCATCCAGAGGCCCTGCGGAGTATGTGTGGTTCTCGTCAACACAATGTCGAGTTTTGAGTCGCCTCAAAACTCCATCCCGAGGGTCCTGCGGAGTACATGTGGTTCTCGTCAACACAATGTCGAGTTTTGAGTCGCCTCAAAACTCCATCCCGAGGGTCCTGCGGAGTACATGTGGTTCTCGTCAACACAATGTCGAGTTTTGAGTCGCCTCAAAACTCCATCCAGAGGCCCTGCGGAGTACATGTGGTTCTCGTCAACACAATGTCGAGTTTTGAGTCGCCTCAAAACTCCATCCCGAGGGTCCTGCGGAGTACATGTGGTTCTCGTCAACACAATGTCGAGTTTTGAGTCGCCTCAAAACTCCATCCCGAGGGTCCTGCGGAGTACATGTGGTTCTCGTCAACACAATGTCGAGTTTTGAGTCGCCTCAAAACTCCATCCAGAGGCCCTGCGGAGTACATGTGGTTCTCGTCAACACAATGTCGAGTTTTGAGTCGCCTCAAAACTCCATCCAGAGGCCCTGCGGAGTACATGTGGTTCTCGTCAACACAATGTCGAGTTTTGAGTCGCCTCAAAACTCCATCCAGAGGCCCTGCGGAGTACATGTGGTTCTCGTCAACACAATGTCGAGTTTTGAGTCGCCTCAAAACTCCATCCAGAGGCCCTGCGGAGTACATGTGGTTCTCGTCAACACAATGTCGAGTTTTGAGTCGCCTCAAAACTCCATCCAGAGGCCCTGCGGAGTACATGTGGTTCTCGTCAACACAATTTCCTGTCCCTCCAATCCCAATCAGGTGCCTGCAACACGTGCCGCAGCTCAGCAGCCACGATGCAGATGGGCATCAAGAGGGCCCGTGAAAGCCTCATCCCTACAATATGCACTCTGAGCCGAATTCTGGTTCTGCATTCTCCCTTTTCTCCCCACAGGTGCCTGCAACACGTGCCCCAGCTCAGCAGCAACAATGAAGATGGGCATCGACATTGTGTTGACGAGAACCACACATACTCCGCAGGACCCTCGGGATGCCGACCTTCCTCGTCACTGCAGAGCTGGGGATCGTGTTGCAACAAAAACAACCTCAACTTCCTGTCCCTCCTCTACCCCCAGGTGCCTGCAACACGTGCCCCAGCTCAGCAGCCACGATGAAGATGGGCATTGAGAGGGCCCTGCAGGACGCGTTTGGGGAGAAGCTCAAGGAGGTGATGCAGCTGGGCGGCGTTGACAACAGGCTCACCCTTGCTGTAAGCACACTCACGCACCCTCGCTGTAAGCACACTCACGCACCCTCGCTGTAAGCACACTCACGCACCCTCGCTGTAAGCACACTCACGCACCCTCGCTGTAAGCACACTCACGCACCCTCGCTGTAAGCACACGCACCCTCGCTGTAAGCACACGCACCCTCGCTGTAAGCACACATTCTCACCCTCACTGTAAGCACCACCCAGTCGTTATGTAAGCTCACAACTTTCAAAAAGGCCCTTCATCTGTGCCCTTCCTCCGCCTCTCCTGTCTTCCGTCGCACTTTCCTTCCTGCACTCCCTAGTGGAGGCTGTGGAGAATCATCTCTCACAGGTTCTCCAACCCACTCTGAGCAAGTACGGAGCGTCTGTGTAGGCAGTCTGAGGCGATATTCTGGCCGACTAAAACTTCATACCTGTGCCTCTGTGCCCTTCCGCCTTCTGTCCCGTCTACCTTTGCACCCTTTCCTCTTCTCCCCCTTGTGCAGGCTGTGGAGAATCACCTCTCACAGGTTCTCCAACCCACTCTGAGCAAGTACGGAGCGTCTGCATCTGCAGTCTCTCTTGACCTAGTGAAGGGCTTTTGTGAAGTGCGGTTTGAGGGGCCACCGCCGATGGCCATGGGAATTCAGGCTGCTTTGAAAGACAAGTTCCCTGAAATTCGGCTTGTCAAGTTGGTATCGTAAAGCCATTGTCATGTTTGTAATCTGCTACTGTAGGGAACGTGCTGGGTTCTTTATAAACGAGTCTGTATAGAACAAGCTTGTATTAAAACGGTGTATGTTAATTATGTTATTACCTTTCTGTATGTTAGCAATCAGTGAGCAGAAGGGAACATTCCTTAAACCTCGTCAACCAATGGCACAATTCAAGGTTTTGACACACGCTACAGTAACGCAAAGTTGCACACTTTGACACGATAAACAGACACGCTGCTGGTGCAACTTGAGACACGTCTCTTCCAGTGGTTTCTGGAAGGAGAGCGCCTTCCGGGTCGGGGGAGCATTCATCGCAAATTTACTTTGTCCACCTATGGAAGAATGGGGCTGCTACTGTAGATGTGGCTGACAACCAGGATCACTCCGATTCAGTGGTCGCGGGCTCAGATTTTGGTCTCCTCCTGAAATGAGTGTACACGTACATTTTTTTCACAACACAAAGGGTAGGGGAGGACCCGGTCAGAAACTGCGAGTGCTCGTTGAAGGTCGAAATTTTCGCCGACCGTGAAATTATTTGCTGGTGCAGCTTGTTCGTCCGATGTTTTCGCAGACAGTGAAAAAGAGAGACGAATCAGCTGGTTTGTCCCTCTTTTCACAATTTTCTCGCGTCCTGAATTGTTGCGTCGCTGGTGAAAAAGACGTCTTCACTGAGTGGTAGCGTCCTACCCTGAACCCAAATTCTCGTTCCCACTGAGGTGCTGTCTGGTGTACAAAGGGAGTTCCCCCTCATCGAATGGGTATTTCGATCGAATACGGTACGGAAACTGGTTCCCTGCCAGCTCGTTGGAGGTTTGTGTAGTGTATGCACTGCTGTGCCTGCAAGTCTTAACTATATATGGAGCTGGATTGGATTTGTTTAGCGTTACCGCGTAATTACGTCTGTGCATGACTTAACTAGCGACGAGAACGTCCTCGAAGAGTGAGTGTGGACAAAGATCCGTCGGTCATCAGCAAGGAAAACCTTCCTTGGTTTTCTTACCAGTACACCCGGAGTTCTCGGCGACCTGATTGCCAGTCCTTCTGATGGGCTTCTTATTAGCATAGACTTTCTACCTATGATGCTTCTCATCGAGTCTTTTGGTGTTTCTTTAAGTTTTTGTTAAGAAACGAATGATTCAAAGGATTCAAGTGCAGCAGCCTTCGTCCTTGATATTGAACTGTGCTGGCATGGCATCCTTGATACAGTACGGGTTCAGGGACGCCCATATGGCCATCGGGCGTGATACAGTTCACAAGCGCGTGAAAGCTACCGCGTTGGATAGCTTGCCATCCATTCCACTGTCGATAACTAACGGCATTCGACAGCGCCATCATCTTTCGCATCATCAGGGTGCCGACTTGTGCACCAGTTGTCTCTTCTGTTGATCGTTGCCCTGACTGAATTTCACAGGAATGGGTGCTCAGCATTAATGTTTAAACATTTGATGAAACCATGGTGTCATTTCCGAAATCATAACAATTATTAATATGTATGTCTGTCGGGCACACTAAACAAATTACGTGATTTTTTGCCAAGGAGGCCTTGATATCCAACAAGGACGCCACCCACTCACTAAAATCCTGAGAGCTATGGGGCGATCCTGCTGGAGGGCAGAATGCTGCAGGTCATCACATCCTATACACTCACAGAAGAGCGGAATGTATGGACAGCGCACACTGTCGGAGAGCGTCTTCCGAGTCTTACTCGTGTTCTGAGTACACCCTGTTTCGCGCTACACTGTCAATGGCTATACTAACTGATCGGATGTACACACATCAATGCGTCCAGGATGGTCCATGCACATACGATATAAGCACGTTTGCCCGCACTCAACCGTACCCAAAAGCAAGTTGTTTTCTGAAAACCGTTGTGTACCGTAATGTTTTTTATTCAGGCTGCTTCGAGACATCATGTTCACCTACGGTATAATTAGCATCACATTTGCCCTTATCTGACACAGGTTGATGTTAAAGATTCTTGTATGCACAGTCAACAGAAACCTAGTACATACATAATACCCAACCACACGAACAAGTTAAAGCCCGAGGTCAGCATGGTTTTTGCCAAAACTACTGAAGGGCTTTAACAAAACTCCAAAGACAAATTGAGGCAGAGGCACGGCGCCAAATCATGTCCCACTGTGAACAGTGCACACATCAACAGCGAAATGCCTGCACTGGCTGAGTCAGCCTGTCTGTCCGACCTGGTCCCCTATCCTCTCCTCGGCTTGTTTCGTCTTGTCTCCCCTCTCAAGAACCAATGTCCCTTTGCATACGCACCTCATCAAGCCTCGTCCACTCTTCCCATCCCAACACCCCCCCTCCTCCCTCACACACATAACACCACAACAGAACGTTCACCCTATCTAACTCTCCCTCTCCCTCATCCTCCCCTCTTCCCTCAAGCAGAACCACCCCACTGGCATAGGAGCTCCTTCTGCAGCACAATCTGGTGAAAATATCGCCGGCTTTTGTTGAACTTGAAAGGCGGAACCATTGCTTCATTTTCTCTGATAAGCTTATCCGCGAGATACATATTTCACCGTGTCGCGGCCTGCAATCTGAGTTCGCGTATTCCAGCCTAATCTCCGCGGAGTGTGAAAGTCCAGAACACGAGTCACCCAAGAAGTTTCAAGCTGTTTGTTTCAAGCTGTTTGCTACTAAGCAACCCGCCAGGCGACACTCCGAGTCGGAGCCACAATAGTGATGCTAGGAAGCACCGTGGCCGGCGGAAAGGCCGGCACGGAGGAGAAAGCCGCGTATCAGTGGAAAAAATACGGACAGAAATTTCTCGTCTCGCAGAACGCCAAAAGGTGATAACTTATTTGTGGAAACTCGATGAACATCACATCACCCCAGACCCGGTTTCACCATCATCCAGTCAAGTCGATCAGTATTTCGAGATAACATGATGTCAAGTCAACCAAAGCCGGCTTTCCGCGACATTTCACTCGCTACTCCGATGAACCTCGCGTCGTTCCTGTTCCTCCATCAAGCGTCTGTCCCCGCGGCTTGAGTCGCCAACGTTTTCCAACGTTTTGTCGTTCGGAACGCCGCGCGGACCGTTGTGAAGTCTTTCTGGCGGAAAATTTCCTCCTTTCTGGTTTTTTTTCCTGCTCTAATACTACCACACGTCTCGACACGGCAGCCGGACCGACTCCCGTCGCCGATCGTTTACCGCTGGTTTCAAAACTCCTGAGACTTCACGGCCCATCATTAAACCCGCCTCCGCCGCTCCTGCTCTCCCCATTTTGCTCTTAACTGCAGGTTCTACTACCACTGCGCGGAGCGCGACACTACCGGCTGTCCCGCGAAACTCATTATCGACAAGGTCCCGAAAGAGGCGTCATCCTCCAAAAACGTACCCATCATCTTCCGGGCCGGCGACGGCAACGGCGACGGCGACGGCGGCGGCGGCGGCGGCGGCGGCGGCGCTCTGGGTTCCAACTCGCCACCGTTAGTAGGCTCGCCGGCTGCTGCGGCGGCGGCAGCGGGTGACGAAGATGGCGCCGGGGAAGGTTGCGGCGGCAGCGGGATGGACTGGAGGGAGCACCAAGAGCTCCTTGACGCGCTTCCCGTGCTCGAGCGGCGCGGCCGCACGCTCATGCCGCGACGCGTGTGGTGCCGCGAGAAGCACAACCACCCGCCGCCGCAGCAGATCCAGCTCCCTGCAGCGGCGGGAACGGCGGCAGCGGCGTCCCCGACCCGCACGCAGCCGCAGCCGCCCCTGCAGCAGCAGCAGCCGCCGCGGCCGCAGTCTGTGGCGCAGGGCCGAACTGAGAACGCCAGTACTACTTTTGGGACCAATGCTACTACTATTAATACCACCACTAATTGTATTCCCAGCGGGAATCCTGTGATTCCAGGTCAAATGCCGCCTCTACTACTAGTAGGTGGTGGCAATGGTGAGCGCCGGATGATAGAGCAGCGGAAAGAAGAGCCTGGGGTATTTAATTTCAACTTCTTGGAGGCATTGGGCAGTCAGCAGCAGCAGCAGCAGCAGCAGCAGCAGCAGCAGCAAATGGTCATGGCGCCATCGCCATTCGAAGCGCCCCTGCAGAATTCTCCATTGTCCTACGAGGGTCTTCAGAAGTCTCCGTTTGAAGCACTTCAGAAACCGCCTGTGGTGCCGGAAGGTCTACTGCAGCGCTTGCAGTCACCGCTCTTTCAGAAGCCCACGGTGCAGCAGCTGGGGGAGACTGACGCAAAGGATTCTTCTGTACCCGCGTTTGCCCTTGGTCTTGGCAGCTTCAATACTTTCACTAATCTTGGTGCGTGTGCTGCCACTGGTGCTGCCACTGGTGCTGCTGCTGCTGCTGCTGCTGCTGGGACAGCAGCCGCCATGCTGCCAGTGGCGCGGGACAGCAGCGCTGCAGCATCCTCCACCAGTGCCGCCTCTGGCAGCGGCAGTGGCAGCGGCAGTGGCGGCGGCGGTGGCGGCAACGGCAGCGGTGGTGGCGGTGGCGGCAGCTGTGGGTCTCCCCGGCCGGGTCAGCCTGTAATCGCTCGCAAGAGATCTAAAACGACGATGGATATGTGCTACGCTGATGCAGCCGCCGCTGCTGCTTTTGCTGATGGCGCTGCCACTGCTTTTGCTGATGGCACTGCTGCGGCCGCTAATGTTGTTGTTCCCAGCAATGCTGCTGCTGCTGCAGCAGCTGGAGGAAAACGGCCGTACCTGTTTCTCGACGCCAGCACGAGCAGCAACAGCTGGAGCCCTCGCACGCTCCGGAGTGAGGACTCGCCACAGCCATTGCGTCTGGGAGCAGCAGCAGCAGCAGCAGCAGCAGCGCCGCTCAGATCTGACCGATTCTTGAGCCAACTCCAGAGCAGCCCGCGTGCTCTCCGGGGGGCAGACTCGCCGCTACGGCCAGACGCCGGATCCAGATTGGATCCGTTTCTGAGCCGACTCTCAAGTACCCCGCATGCTGCCGCTCTCCGGTCGGCGGATTCGCCGGTTCTGGCGGGAGGAGCAGCGCTTCGATCGGACCATTTTTTTAGCCGACTGACAAGCAGCCCGTGTGCTCCCACTCCCGCTCCTCAGTCGGGAGACTCGCCGATGCTGCTGGCGGGAGCAGCGAGCAGAGCGAGCCAGGGCGGGAGGGAGGGCGGTGGGGAATCTGGGATGAACGCGATGCGCGGACAACACGTGGGTGAGGAGGATTTTGGTGCGTTGCGGCTGAGCAGAAGTGTTGGATCGTCTGCTGATGCTGGTTTTCCGTCGGCAGCACTTTCAGCAATTGCAGCTGCTGCTGCTGCTGCTGCCGCTGCTGCCGCTACAGCTGGAGGAGCTGCTGCTGCTGATGCTGGTGGTGGTGGTAATAGCGCTGGCGCTGATGCTTATGGTGGTGGTGCTGGTGGTGGTGGTGTGCCTATGGGGCCAATGCACGCGGCTACAGCCGCACAGGCAGCGGCAATGATGTTGTTTGGTAAGGCCTCTGCTGCATCGTCAATGCCGTTGCAGCAGCAAGGAGGAGGTCTCGGAGGAGGCGCAGGCGTGGGAGGAAGAGGAGGAGCATCACCAGGAGGGTCACTTTTCAGTGAACGCATCAATCTGAACCTTGCTGCCACCGCTACAGCTGCCAACGCTACAGCTGCCACTGCTGCAGCAACCGCTGCTAAAGAGCCTGAATTCTCTTCGCTAAATGGGAGATCCAGCATGCTTTTGTCTTACCTTGCAGCGAGTGATGCGGCGGCAGCAGGAGCATCGAGTAGTGCCGCTGCTCAGAGCCAGCTGCTTAGGCAGATGCAACAGCAGGCGCAGCAAGTGTTGCAGCAGCAACAACTGCAGCAACAACTGCAGCAGCAACTGCAGCAGCAATTGCAGCAGCAACAGCAGCAGCAGCATTTGCAGCAGCAACAGATGCAGCAGCAATTGCAGCAGCAGGTACAAGGGCAATTATTCCAGCAGCATTTCCAGCAACAGGTTCAAGGACAATTGCTGCAACAGCAGCAGCAGCATTTGCAGCAGCAGCTGCAAGAGAAGTTGCAGCAACGCCTAAGACAGGAAGCGCAGCAGCAACAGCAGCAGCAGCAGCAGCAGCAACAGCAGCAGCAGCAGCAACAGCAGCAGCAGCAGCAGCAGCAGCAGCAGCAGCAGCAGCAGCAGCAGCAGCAGCAGCAGCAGCAGCAGCAGCAGCAGCAGCAGCAATTACAACAGCAACAGCAGCAGCAACAGCAGCAACAGCAGCAGCAGCAGCAATTACAACAGCAATCGCAGCAGCAGAAATTAGAGCAGTTGCAGGCGCAATACCTGCAATGGTACCGCCGGCAACAGGTCCAGCAGGAGCAACAGCAGCAGCAACACCCGGAGCAGCAGCAGCAGCAGCAGCAGCAGCAGCAGCAGCAGCAGCAGCAGCAGCAGCAGCAGGTAATGCCTTCCCTTCCGAGTCCCGACCTGCTCTCAGCAACAATGTTGCCCAACATCCGAGCTGCTTTACTTGGCCGCACTTCCCCAGCAGCAGCTTCCCCAATGGGTTCCGCACTCGCCTCATCACCTGCTCTGCCTCTACCTACCCCAGGTGTACCTCCCCCACACACCGACCCAGCTAGGGAAGAACTTGTGAAAGCGAATGCCACTCGAGAAGGCAACGCCTTGTACGAGCAGGGAAGCGTGCCTTTTACTCAGAGGGCCTTGCCCTCAGCCTCTCATATCCACAGAAGCTATCCAGCAGAGGTCCTTGCTAGCGCTGCTGCCTTCCCACCGTCATCTACCGGCCAGCCTGCAACTGCTTCAGCACAGGCTAGCTTGGCAGGGAGAAAAGAAGGGGCCACTGGTGAAGGGAGAACTGATCCCACCCTGTGGAGCCCTCGTCTGCCCTCTGAAAGTGCTCCTGCTGTTTCGTTTCTTAACAAAGGAAGCGACAGTCTGAAATTTGAGCCTGTGTCTTCGAGCTCCAGGTCAGGGTTTGGTGTGGATGGGGGAGGTGTGGGTGTGAAGCGGACAGGGTCAGATGGTGGGGATATGGAGTTGGACCTGATTGGTCAGTTTGATGCAGCGGGTTCCAGCTGTAGACATGCCATTGCAGGCCCGCAATTCCCTTCCACGAAATTGCACTTGTAGTGTGCGTTGTTTTTCTTCTATAGAGAAGTGTTGTTTTGTTATGCTATGGTCTGTATACACTTGATGGACTAAGTCTGCTAGATTCTCTACACCCTCCGCTCCGGAACAGTTTTAAAACAGCCGTATGATGATGTCAGCAGTGTAACGCTTGACAAAAACGTAGGTTCATGTGTATCGATTTGGTTGAGTGAAATACCGGTGATAGAGCTGCGACTTTTGTCGCACTGGAAGTTGGGTCCCTCTGTGTGTTCTTGAATACGTCATGTTCACATGCGCGCGCGCGCGAGCACACACACAAACACACACACACACACACACACACACACACACACACACACACACACACACACACACACACGCGCGCGCGCACGCACGCACGCATACACGCACACCCACGCACACACACGCACGCACCCCTAAACCCTACACGTACACACGCACGCGCACACGCACGCACACACACACGCATACACACACATACAAACACACACATACACACACACATACACACACACACACACTCACCCACCCACACACACGCACACACACCCAGAGACACGCACACACACATACACACGCACACACGCGCACGCGCGCTGGCACACACGCACCCACACACATACAGACATGCACGCACACACACACTCACGCACACACACATGCACACACATGCACACACACACACACACAGAGACACACACACACACTCACTCACACATGCACATATTTATACTGAAATTGGGTCGCTTG